ACTATTTAAACGACATTCAAGTTTGTTAGAGTTCTACTAGTACTAAAACAGTGTGTAGAAATATAAAAGTCTCGACTTTAGAATCTATTACGCGGGAAATCTTTTTAAATCTTTTTAATTCTTTGAAGTCCGCTTTTGTTTCTTATAAATATCTACAGTATATCAATTGCTGATAAAGGTGCACTGTATGCTGTTTTATCAGCCTTGTATAAAAAACCTGTTCGCTTGCTCGTTAGTTAACGCAGCGAAAAGCGTGTTACATGAGATTGACATTTATCAAAAAGAATTAGTATATATTATTAACTATGTATAATTAATTTCATTTTATGCACCTAACGCAAATTAGGTCTTATGTAATTTATACGTCACAACTAAATTTTTCTTTCTTGAATTTTACTGATATTATCCAATATTTAAATAAATTTGAGTGGCAATAATTGTATTTCATGAGTAGGAAATTTGTATTTTTTATGATTTTGTAAAAGGAAGGATTTTTTAAAGTTGTATACAAACAGAAGCCACGTGTATTATGTATGTTACCTAACAAAGAGTGCATTACGCTACTGTATCGGCTCCATTGATCGGCACAACATCCTCGGCGCAGCGGTACCGTGGCGCGAGTAGAGTCGTGACGGCGCGCTTATCGGAGGCTTACTCGGAGTACGGTACGCGTACCGTTCGCTTCGCGGCCTTGAGCGCGGTTCCGCCGCTGCCGAACCGAGCGCAACAATAATTGCAGCCCCGATAGCGGTATGGTCGCGGAGCAAAGTTGGGTCCCGCGCAACCGGTCCGTCCGCGAACCGTTGCGTTGCTGGCATAGAGCACAGCGTAGATGTACTTGTCTTTCAATTTTCGAGTATTGATTACGCCAGGTCAGGCCCGAGCTCTAAAAGAGTAACGGCAATTTTAAGAAAAAATCACATCATATTAATACTCGCATGATTTAAAACGTTTCGTCTACGATTTTATAATATTTGCACGATAAATATTTTTTCTACAAATGAACAGAACGAAATCTGTTCTCAAAATACTTACTTGTCTTGTTACCGATCAGCTAAATATAGCTTATAAAATCAAAGTCGCAACGATTAGCGTGACTTTTAAATAAATATTATTTAATATAATATTATATTAAACATATGTGTGAGACTCATGTTTGACGCCATTTATTTTAGATGAAGGACCTTCAAAGTCGTAGACACTTTCACATCGTAACGCCTACACAATATTTTCACATGTCCAGGAACCAGGAATAATGCCATCGGGGTACCTTACCATCCTTTTCAAAACCTCCGAGAGCCTTCTAAACGCGAGGGAATATTCATAGAAATAAAAATCCTTTGGTTAATACTACCTTTGGTTGAACAACCTGCCATAATTATCCTTATAAAGAAAAAAATTCGGGCTATAAGAAAAAAGTTAAGGTAGACAGATGGCCACCAAGATGGATTCTTACGGCTGCCAAAGCATTCACAAACGAGTTAAACTGAGATTATTTGATGGTAAAGCTAGTTATAACTAGCTTTCTTTCCTTAATCATAGCAGATGGCAAGTTCGGCCATGACTCTATTTTTCGTGCAATCTGGACTAATAAAATATCCCCCTTTTTCTTTTTTTAGCTTCCAGTCAAACATTTTTGGTGGGATAGTACATTGGCCACGTCTACTTTGTCTCTATATAAAAACCAACCATGGCTACCTTTTTCCGTGTAGCCGTAAGATAATAAGCGCAAAGGCTACGGCTTATGGTGTCCAATATCTTAAAATTACGGGCATACATCTAGCATAAACAAGATGGTATACCGTCAGCATTCGGAAGCCATAAGTCCTCTTGGGCATTTTTCACCTTCTGGCATTTCGAACTTCGTACTGGACAAAATAAAAAGAAATATTTTATGCACATTGAGTGTTTCAAATTTGAAGGCTGTAAGGGTGTTTAAATAAAGTATAATCCACACCTACACGCATCCAAATCGCATCGCAATCTTATAATATAAACACCTTGTCCAAGTGTAGGGGGAGTTTAAAACGTGAGGGATCTGACAAAAAAACTAACTATTCCGATGCCTATATTTGGCATGTTATCATAATTCCAAATAATAATATAAATTATATATATACTGATATTCTTATTTATTAATGTAATCTTACTAATAAACATAAAGTAATTAAGAAGAGTTTTGATAAATTCATATTTTTTTAATACTCTACCTATGTAGAGACATTATAGCAACCTTGAAAACCATAAATGATATGGAAGATGGGTGTAATTGTCAGTCATTTATTACGTAGTTCTTCTAAACTGCAGTAAATTAGTAAATTATAATGTGTAAATTATTCCAACGTTATCGTTATTTTTGATAAATATTACTCATGACAAGAAAATTAAATGACATTGGTTCTTACTCTATCTACCTCGGCCCATCAAAGTACTTGATAATCTCTATATATTTTTAAATCTTAAACATCGTTGTGAAAAAGTGAAAGTAAAATTTTTTTCTGCAGATTGCACCTAGGCATATAATTCTCACATATTTGTTTTAACTGTCTCGCTCTCATATACAGGGTGGGGCAGCATAACTTCCTTATTTGTAATGCGCGCCATTCGGTCAGGTGACATCGTAGTGGAGCGCTAGTGGTCTCGTTCGAGAGAGGGGGTTATAAAGTTTAGTCGAGACAGCTCAGTCGCCATAATGCGTTGGAACAGTGAGGAGCGTGCGTTTGCTGTTGAGGCTTACTTTTCGCGCGGATGTTCTGTGATTGCAACTCAGCGCGCCTTTCGAAATCGCTTTAATTTAGCCCCGTTGGCCCCTGTTCCAGACCGAAAATCAATTGTTATGTGGGTCACTACGTTTAGACAAACTGCAAGTGTGACATAACGAAGAACTGGAGTCCCTCGGCCCATTAGATCACCTGAGAACATTGAGGCAGTCAGAGCTTCAATGTTGCGATCACCACGGCGTTCTGCGCGCAAACATGCATCTGCCCTTGGACTTTCCAGTCGTTCTGTGCGGAGAATTCTCCATGAAGACTTACATTTCCATCCATACAAGATGGCGACTGTACAGGAACTGTCAAAACGTGACTACGATTCTCGCAGGAACGCATGTGAGATTCTTCTGGATGTCGTTCCTGAGGACGCTATTGTTTTTTTTAGTGATGAAGCACATTTTCACTTGTGTGGATCCGTGAACAAACAAAACATGCGCTACTGGGCTGACACCAATCCTCGAGAATTGCATGAAAGGCCTTTGCATTCACCTAAGGTCACAGTGTGGTGTGCAATTTCCTCAGCTGCAATTATTGGTCCCTGGTTCTTTGAGGAAAATGAAGTCACAGTAACAGTGAATTCGGGCCGGTATGTAAACATGTTACAGGAATTCTTTTTACCCCGGCTGGATGCGTTGGACTTGGGAGACATTTGGTTCCAACAAGACGGTGCAACGGCACACACTGCAAGAGCATCGATGGCTGTTTTGAGAGAACACTTCCCAGAACGCCTTATCTCAATCAGGGGCGATTTGCAGTGGCCGGCCCGATCTCCCGATTTGTCCCCTTGTGACTTTTTTCTATGGGGTTTTTTGAAATCCCGTGTTTATGTGAACCGTCCAAGGACCCTACAAGATTTAAAGAACAACATCCAGGAAGAAATTGCCAACATAACGCCTGCTCTGCTTCAGAGTTATGACAAACACCAGAAATCGGTATACTCAATGTATAGAGAATAAGGGACGTCATCTACCTGATTTGATCTTCAAAACTAAATAAAACAAAACTTTAAGTATGTACTTACATTGTAAAAACCAAATAAAATTTTTCCGATTCATACAATGTGTTTTATTAGGTTTTAAAAAAAGGAAGTTATGCTGCCCCACCCTGTATGACAGATTCATGTTTTTTATTTTGTCTAGCGTCTGTGTGTGTATTTTAATTATTCTGTTAAAAAATTAGCACTGAAATTAGTAATTGCATTTTTATTCTTTGAAATATACCAATGTGAGATAATAAGACAAGATACGGTATTGTTTTTATTACAGACGATAACTTGAGAATTCCGATTAGACTTATATTTTTATCTCAGTTAACCACGGCTCTATACTGGAAAAACTAGTTATTAGAAGATTGTGCGACCACCTGGAGCACGAATGTCAAGGCTGCAGGCTTGGAACCGCTCCAGGCCGTCGGTTGCAATCGCAAAATACCGCTCTATGTTTTTCGTAATTAGTGACACAACGCTAGAAGTACTTTTCTGATTCACAATAAAATAGTTTATACAAGCGGCATTACACAACTAGATCTTCTATTAGTTACGCTGCAAAGTTAGCGTTGTGATTGACGATTAGCGCTGTCAACAGATTATTTACACGTCGCACTCTATTGCCATATTCTAAGGTGGAAAATTCAATGTCAATTAAAATGTTAGCGAGTGCCGCGACTCCCATGTGTGTCGCGCGCTACAAACACAAACACGTGCGCGGCGTGCGACCGCGTGACGTCAAAGCCCGCCCCTCAGGTGCGACAAGGATGGCACTAATCGCGGAGCGGCAACGGCGCATGCCGTTTTGTTTTTATATGTAAGGCCAGCGATAGGCCGAGTTTATCTTCCAAATGCGAATGCAATTAGAACTATTTGTAGAGTTTTTCATGTCAGCAATTCCTAAAAAATTATCGCTACCTCGCTCCGCTATCTTGGAGATTTCATTCTCATCTCGACCTTGGTTTTCCGGCGCGATTAGGAGGATACGCAACGATACGCCAGTTTTCGCAGTTGGAATGCTAATTTAGACTGTTCGGTGACTAAGTAGGTAACTGCCGTGACAGATGCTAATGAAGTTTTTGACATTACAAAAGAAATTACCGCCCATGCCATATCAAGGAGAACGAAAACTATGTTATATTAACTTTGCGAAGCGCATATTACTATTAGCCAAATACTTCGGAAGCAACTCTGTTGATGCACTGACTTCAAAGTTAACTAATCCTTTGTTTCTTTATTTGCAGAAGGCGATCAGGGTTCATGGGAGAGTGGACTCTCGTATGAATGCCGTTCCTTGCTCTTCAAAGCTCTCCATAACCTCATCGAAAGGTAAAGGAAATATAGAAATCGATACACTTTTTATTTAGGTTAAGGAAAGTAATCTAGAATTATAATGTTAATTATATATACATAATATACTCTCTCTCTCTCTCTCTCTCTCTCTCTCTATATATATATATATATATATATATATATTATATATATATATATATATATATATGTATATGTATAATGTGTAATTTTTAATTTTTATACATTTCGTGGCATAGCAATTTTGAAATAAGTAACTACATAAAATTTATGTAGGAATTAATAGAGTTTTCGAGGTGTGTTGATTTTTAAGTTCTTACAGGTCGAAAAATTTAATTCTTTCACGTATTTTTTTATTACTTAATATTTTGGTTTACACCCTTTCTTACATTACGTCCCCAAGTATCAATGTCAGATTCTTTTAAGGAAATCTTTAACAGTTACTGAATAATCAGCTGGTTACACTTTTCGGTTTTAACCTTTAATTTTTTTTAATGGGAGCAGTGTGAGGTCTAATTGTAAGTAACTACAACTTATTGTAACTAATCTAGGTTATTTGAGGCCTTGCGAAACATGTCGAACATCTTAATAAATCACACTCCGCGCATTACACGCTAGGACTCCGTCGTCGTTTCAACTTTATCTCGGAATAGTTGTGATCGTGATAATAATACACGATTTGTGCGCTCGGGTACTATTTTATTGATTTGGTTTGTCGCACTTGCAAAAAATGCTTTATGTATTTTTATATACGTAAAAGTGTTGTAATAGAAATATAAACTTTTTTATTCAATATAGATTATAAATAACACTTTTAAAAGTGACTCTTATGTTTAAATTACCACTGGTTCGGAAAATATGTCCTGTCAAGAACAAAGCAAGTAATGAGTGGTAAAAAAAAAGTTGTAGCAATCACTTCGTTCCCAGGGGTTATTATCATCCATAAATTCCTTATATCATGCTAACCCTTTTTATACAATCTTTGTTTCATAATCATCATCATTACAGCCTTTCATAAGTCCACTGCTGAACATAGGGGGAGTCCTGAGCCACCTGCATCCATCGACTTCCTGCATGTCTTACCAAGTCGCCACTCCATCTCGTAGGGGGTCGCCCTATACTTCGCCTACCGGTACGAGGCTGCCACTCAAGAACCTTTCTTCCCCATCGGTTGTCGGTTCTTCGAGCTACATGGCCGGCCCACTGCCACTTCAGCTTACTAATCCGTTGTGCTATGTCGCTTACTCTGGTTCTACTGCGGATATCCTCATTTCTAAGTTTAACACGCAGAGAAACCCCGAGCATAGCCCTCTCCATAGCTCGCTGAGCGACCTTGAGCTTTCTCATAAATTTTATTTTTATTTCCGTTTAATAAAGTTGTTAAAGTCAGAATTTGTGGGTGTTTATAGGGATACGTATTTTCTTCCTGACATGAACGGTGAACGCAAGAATTTCGACATTAAAAGGAACCTGCATTGAATTAACCAGGATCACCCTATTAAACAATAAGTCAACAATTTAAATTTCTGACTCTCGTACATTGTTTATGTAACAAAGATATGGGTGCATTGTCTGAGGCTCCGAGGAAACAAATTATAAGTTAAGAGCGATTCAATCTGTTTTGGTATACCCAGTATATCTTAGTAAGAAATTCAATTAACAATCGGTTGCTCTACACTTGCACTTAGATAGAAGCATTAAGTTATGCTTTTAACTAAAACTAAGAATTACATTGCTTAATTTGCTTGTATAATTTTATGTTGTTGTACCGTCAATTTAAATTTTGTATTGTTAGACCGTATACTTTTTAAAACTACTAATCATTTGCATGTAAAAAAACAACAACAAACATTTGGCGTTAATATTGGAAAGCCAGCGCTATTTAATGTCAGTATTTGCAAGTATGTAGGTAACATGAGACGATTTTGAAATCTCGCACAGCGGTCGGTGTTACGATCCGCGAGCGAGGTAGTTGAGGAATCTGAATGTTTTAGTTAAACTATAACCGGTTTTGTAAATATTGTATGGAGATATTTCTATATATTCTAAACCTTAATAATAACCTTAATTTTAACCGCATCTCTAATTTTTTTTTTATAAGATAGGGTGACAAACTAGCACACAGTCCACCTGATGGTAAGTGGTTGCTATGACCCATAGACATCCACATCTATCCTCAATAAAGATTAAAAATGCAGAGAAGTTTGTCACCCGTGAGGACTAAAATGGAGTGCCTCTTTTCTAGTAAAAAGGGTCTCCGGTTTTCTACACTCACCATACGAAACACAGCAGTGTTAATGTGTATTCTGTGAGAGCGTGGTCTTTCCCCGGTCGAGCCGACCCATTCGTGCTACAACTACATATACTACTAATATAGCTGCAGCATGGCTCTACCATGTAAAAAAAAATCCGCGTCGTGGTAGCGTGGCGAGCAAGGAAATGAGTATCATCAATCCATTCCAATCCCATGGGACGGAATGGATTGATGATATTATCTATTATTTGAATCGATAAAATTATCTATTATTTGATAATAATTTTACCAATTTATGCTAAGGTTGTCACTAAGATCGTTATTTCGAAGTTAATTTTTAATTCACAATTATTTGAATATCAAATAAGTATATTACGTGATTTGGTAAAAGTTAAATGTAGGTACAATTAACATAAGCAGATGTGTAGGGCCGGCAATCAAAACGGATGGTGGTTTAACAATCATTAGTAGTTGCACTAATGTGGGTGCTCCTGCGGTCCGTCGCAATCTCTGCTATGAACGAAACGCGAGCGGGTCGACGACCCCGCCAGCGCGTCAAAGACAATGTGTGCCCAGTTCGCGACGACAACCGACAACGCAACCGACGACATGCGTCCTCAGTGCGACGTCACCGGCAGTTTGTTTTTAACTTTACGAGACAAAAACTATTTTACTTTGTCTATGATGCGAAATTACGCTACAGTTAGTTGAATGACAATGTAGAACGAATGTCTTTATTTTATAACACTGGCAGAAAGATCACAAACAGACACACATAAAGACAAATCACAGTTGTTAGTTGTTACTACCATGAAAGTGAACGTCTTTGGAGTGTACAAAATTACCAAAACAATACTAATGGAATCACACCGATATTCCTAGATCTGTCATAGTCATAGGTCGTTCTAGATGGTGTGTGACGGCTCTACAAACCTAAATTTTGATTCTGACAGTTTAACATGGGTCAAATTGTGCCGTATAAAAATAATTTAGGCTCTCGAGTGAAAGTTTTATCGAAGCGAAAAATTGAAAATTATCGATTTATAAATGTAATCAATCAATTATGGAATGATAAATAAATTGATTAAAACGGGAAATGGTTTTTACAGTGATTTGCTTATTTTTGCTTAAATATTAAGATTATTGTTTCGACTTAAATGTTGTGATAACTTAGAAATGGAAACCAAGTGCTTTTGTTTTTAATCTATTTATGTTTGTTTTATCTAAATGCTTTTTTTTATTTCACCAGAGTTTATTGACTAAACACAAAAACACATTATAATCTACTTTGATAAGATAAGGTTTCTATTGGTATATCACTAAACGGTACGAGATCTCGTGATACGGAGTACCTATTAGTAGATTTTTCAGTGGAATGTTAAGATGAATCAACACAATGTCTTCACTACCTCAGTATACAAGTGGAAGCAGCAGCACGTGCGGTTCCTGTGTGAAGTAGTGTGAATAATGTATAAATAAATGAAATTCAATAGAATTTCTGGGCAGCCGGCCGATACTCGCTAACTTGTAAAGACTACTACACCTTCGGTTTACAATGCTTGTTAACAGGCTTGTTTATTAGCGATGTTATCTACCGACCCAGATTCAATCATTACCGACGTCTCTTCTCTACATATCGATGTCATTGTCACATCTGAAATTACTTAGTCTTTAAAACACAAGCCAAGGGCGTGTGGCCACAGAGTAAGGGTGGCTGTTAGGTTATGTACACATGCGAATTTTTTTTTAATACTTATTCACGACCCGTTTGAATTAAAATAATGCGTAATGCGAATCGTGGAATTATTATGTGCGCAAAGTAATGTCCTTTCTTTATCAACCCGTAATAAGGGAAGGGAAGTATATCCCATAGTTTTTTATTCAATATAGATTACATGTAGTTTGTATTGATTTCATGTAATATATATTTTCTTATATCACATTTTTTACTCTACCACTGGTTCTGAAAAAAACCTCTGTCCTGTGAAGAACCAACAATAAACCCAACGGGATTTTAAAAAAAAAGTAAATTATACAATATGAAACAAACTATTACAAAATTTATTTTAAAAACAGCTTGGAAGCGACCACCTAATTCTCATGGGTTTATTATATATATTCATTTATAAGTGAGCAAAATATTCAATTATTTTAATATTATTATTTAATTCATTTGTAAGTGAAGTGGCAGTGGGCCGGCCATATAGCTCGAAGAACCGACAACCGATGGGGAAGAAAGGTTCTCGAGTGGCAGCCTCGTACCGGTAGGCGAAGTGTAGGGCGTCCCCCCACGAGATGGAGTGACGACCTGGTAAGACATGCAGGAAGTCGATGGATGCAGGTGGCTCAGGACCGTGCTTTGTGGCATTCTTTGGGGGAGGCCTATGTTCAGCAGTGGACTTGTGAAGGGCTGTAATGATGATGATGATGATGAACCCTTTTTATACAGTTTTTGACTAATAAAATATTTAAATTTGGTAATAGAGATTATATATTAGCTTGCTTGCTTGCTTTGCTTGTATTTTTTCTAGGACTTCGTTGTTATAGCATATACATGATGAGAGTTATATGTTACGAGCGAAAGTAAAAATTATGTAGATATATTTAGTACATCTAGTATATAGATGTACCAAGTAATATCTACATAATCTTTAAGAGAAATTTTCGTCACCTGGCTAGTGTACAGAGTGCAAAACCTGCTTTGACTTATTTAATCGTTTATAGGGTGATAAACGAGCACACAGTCTTCCTGATGGTAAGTGGTTGCTGTGGCCCATAGACATCTATATCTATCCATATCTATCCTCGTTTGGGAATCAAAATGCAGATGCGTTGTCACCCGTGAGGACTAAGATGGAATGCCTATTTTCCAGTATCTCTCCGGTTCTCTGCACTCACCATACGAAACACAACAGTGTAAGCTGCTATTCTACGCTGGTATTCTGTGATTACAGGGGAAGGACCACGCTGGTCCTTCCCCGGTCGAGCCGACCCATTCGTGCTACAACTATACTATTAATATAGCTGCAGCATGGCTCTACCACGTCAAAGACTTAAATCGTTTCCGTTCGTAAACCTATCATTTGTATGTTTGATTAAACTACCTGAACAAATAATAATTATTAGGGTGAAGTATCATTTTCAAAGTTAATAATATTTACCTATTTTTTGACTTGTTGGTTATTGACACGATTAGAATGAAATATTGCCTGACTCGCTATCTTGATTCTATAAATAAACATTCATTATTCATTCATTACAACCTGTCAAAGTACATTGCTGAATATAGGCCTACCCATAGATTGCCTCCTTATGAAGATACTTGCCATAGTTACCACGCTTGGCAGGCGGGTTGGCAACTGCAGTTTTTTATTTTCTAATTATTATTAGGAAAAAAACTACTGTCTAAGTACCGGTTTCTTTCCCTTCTGTCGCCTCTTAAATAAATGAAAAAATTGTTTCATAGTAATAAATTTTATTTAAGAAATGCTATTCAATCAGTCCGTGTTAGTTAAGTGGACATAGACTAGTATTAAAAATAATGACGATGAGATGTCGAAAAACCTTCCCTTTGTCTGTAATACAGCATTTCAGTTTACTTCCTATCTTTTTCAATATATCGACCATTATTACTTTATCTACACAATTATATTGTGTGTGTCTAACAGCCGATTTCATTTGAAAGTTAAGTGAAGTTTAATGCGCATATTGCCGCAATCGGTCAACAACATATTATTAATTTTATTTATCAATAAAAAAAATACTTAACCCTTTCGCTGTCCCGTACATTACATATAGGTCATTGCTATTGTCTTTAATTGTGTCTGAAAACCGGACATTGAAAGTGTTAATTTTACACCTAACACAATATTTTCCTGAATTCGTGAGAGAGAAAAGACAAAGGAAATCATTATGTTGGATATAGAAATGTTGCAATGAATGAGTCGTTTCAACACCAACCAATAACACATTACAACTTAACCTAGTCATTGCTGGTACGTTATAGATTAGCTATGGTAATATTAATTGATATGTGCAATGGCTGCGTTACGACACCGTCGCAATGGCATTGGTGCGGTGTGGAAGCCGAGCCGCTGCATTTTATGCGTAATTAGTGCGGAAACTTTGTACTTACGTATTTATATTTGGCTCACATGTAATTATTCTGGTCACCTTCTTGGATCTATTGGTCACATTCTTGGATCCTATTGAGCTGGGTTTTGTCTTGTGTGGTCGATGGTGAAAATTCTGATTTTGTGTATAAACTTGCTGGTGTTGTTCGGCCGTTTCCAGTAGATTTTTTTACAAAACCTTTTATTTCTATTCTCGATTGAGAGTCAGATTGTAGATGCGTTGTCACCCCAGAGGACTAAGCTAAAATGCCTTGTTAACTAATAAAAAGGATGTAAGTAAATATGTCGATAGCACGACGAGTTTCACTCCGAATTCACCTCGGTCTATTTATTTCCAATGTAAATACAGCTCCATCTATGGAGTACAGATTTTGAGATTATATTTTTTTGTCACTATTCCGACATAATGTATTAAAAATAATTAAACTTGCCACCAATAGGATTTTAGCATACCTATGACCCATCGTCTTTAATAAACAAAATGCCCATTGTGTCAGTAAAACTTCAATCGGTCATGTCATTCAGGGGAAAACCTAGTTTGACGAATCCATGGACAATAAATTGTCCTTAATTTGCTTTACAAAACAATTTACTTCATTAGGCAATTTCTTAATTTAATCGTAAAATGTTTCGATTATTTCAGATGTCTGCTATCGCGGGATTTTGTGAGGCTCGGGAAATGGTTTGTCCAACCTTACGATGGCGACGAAGAAGACGTTGGCAAAAGGTATGTCGACAAAACAATCTATCAATTAACTTTCATTAACTTACTGGAAGTTAAATTTGAGGCAGTTCAAGTGAATTGTTTCAAACGAACTCTGTGGAAACACAGAAGTGCACTTCCTATAATATAAATGAAGATCTCTGTGTTGTGCCTGTTAAGAAACAAGGGTACAACTTCGTTCACCTTCAAACATTCATCACACTGCCTTCTTTTGATAATCAATCGTCTTAAATTTTCTTAAACATTAATATTTTACCAAAGTACAATTGCGAAGATAGTTTTAGAACAAGTTTCAGTAACGACAAATTCAGAAAAAAAAATGTTTACAAAACGAGTTCTAAGTTATACACGAATATAGTTTTGATACAATAATTAGAAATCAGTGGGCTTCGTAGTTGTGTTGTACGGCGCGAGAAATGAAATAAAATATTAATTATTTCACTTTTATAAATTAGAAATGGTTTATTAATTAAGAAAATATAAATCGACTTTAATTATCATTGGTTCTCGTTGATTTCTTTATGAGACTACACTTTCATAAAGCGTTGGAAATATTGTTAAAGAAAATACAGCTGCATTGATTATAAGTCGGTTAAAAGTTATCGTTACGGATTATGATTCTCTTTGGACTGCTAAAATTTTAAAATGAACAACAGGGACATGTTTATTTGCTAGTTATGCCTCATTGTTATGTTTTTTTTTTTATATTTTCTACAAGAGATTACACCATCCCTAGTGGCCGTTTATTAACTAATGTTACACATTTTTTTTAATATAGTTTTATTAACAAGTTCAGGATTATTCTACAAAGACGGTTAATTACAAACAGCACTGCGATTTGATACAGTGGTGTTGGTTTCACCGTACGAGTAAATAATTATAAATTTACGAGTTTCTGTACTATTTACAAATTTTCTTATTATATTCACTGTATATACTACTATGAAAAATGGAACGTTTTAGGATTATTAAAGAAAATGTTGTTAATATAAAATCATTAAAACAAAAGAAAACTGTCTATTAGTGACATTTGTCTGGATACTAGATGAAATTACTAATAAAATTAAACTTGAATTGTAATAGGTACCATAAAATTAAAAGTTTCATCTATATTATGCCTAAGTTATATCTAGGTATTATTAAATTTTTTAAGTCTGTTTACAATTGTTTTAACGAATTTAACAAAGGAGTTCAGGGTTGATTTTTCCTTAATGAGTTCGGCTATTTTAAAGGGAGACACACCGGAAATGCTACAGATTAACTCAGAATCATTTCTCGCGGCACTAAACGCGGGACATTGTTGGAGTAGATGTTCAATAGTTTGCATAACTGAATAATCGCAAGGGCATTTGTCATCCGCGGTGATTTTAAATCTGAACAAATAACTTTTATGGTATCCGTGGTCGGTGAGAACCTGAGTCAAATGGAAACTCATATTGGTAGCTGCTCTAAGTTTCTGTATGAGATCCAGCGCCGGTAGTAATTATGTTGTGTCTATCGAGCAATGTCAAAGTTAGTTGTGCACGTGTTGCAGCCCGTGGCACCTGTCGTTCTCGTTCGCGTTCTTCCTGCACGGCGAGAGCACGGTGTGCGCGTCGGTGGACGTGCGCCAGCACCCGCCCGTGCGCACGCTCACCGCCAAGCGCCTGGCGCGTCTCGCCGCCGCAGACCATCGCGACCGTGCCAAGGGTGAGCACCGCTCGTAATCACAAACGCCTCATAATCACCTACCACACCCGCATGCATACGTGAACGCGGTGGGGAACGTGTGAGTGAAATGCAAATACAATACTTATTGAAACCTAAACGGGTTGAGGTTTAGTGGGTTCAGCAAGATCGAGCGGGGCAGTCTGTACATCTGTGTGGTAACATACAGATTAGCCGCCACTCTGAACATCTTTATATGTTATACATATGTTTTGTCGTGCCCGTTGAACGCGCCGCTTTTGCGAAGCGAGCACTCAGTTTCTGTATTAACCACGACAAAGTACTTGCCGCTTACCGCCTCAGTCATTCTTGTAGCCCTGCTGATGCTGAACATAAGTAAACTCTGCAAGTGTAAGTATAACATCTGATGGCACAGTCATTCAGAAGCCTTTATTGAAAATATATTCCCAAAAATAGCTTACCTAGTATTAGCACTCTTGATTTTTTTTTTCTAGTTTTAATTATATGATTGGTGAAGAGAAACAGAGGACTTTTTGTAAGATAGAGACCTGTGTAAGAATATCGATTACCACATATCGTACAACATATTGTCGTAAGAGGCGACAGAGGGAAACAGATGGGCAGCAGCATAGCATCTTCATGGTAACAGCTATATAAAAAACTGTGTTTGTCACCCTGCTTGCCAGGCGTGACATCTATGGCTAATAGGCAATCTCGGCAGTTGTCAGCCGTCGACTTTGATAGACATATTAATGGTAATGGTAAGAGTTAATACATGGTAGAGCCACACTGTAGTGCTATATTATGGTTGCGTACTACGAATGGGTCGGCTCGACTGAGGTGGGACCACGCTTTCGCAGAATACCAGCGTAAAATAGCAGCTTAATGCAGCTGTGTTGTGTAGTGAACCAGAAACTTTTTACTAGAAACGAGGCATTTCATCTTGGTCCTCAGGGGTGACAACGCATCTGCATTTTGATTCTTAATCGAGGATAAATGTAGATGTCTGTGGGCCACAGCATCCACTTACCATCAGGTGGACTGTATGCTTCCCTTATCCTATATAAAAAAAACAAGTTGGAAATGGAACTTAGTGTAAGAGATGGAGATGCTGGTTGCAGTGATCCTGGCGCCGTTTGGTCTGGAGGGGCGCGTGACGGGGCGCGAGTGGAGCGACGGCGACCCGGCCACGGCGCGTCTGCTCGACGCCTGGCGCCAGCTCTACCCGCTCGAGCACGGCTGCGGCGCCGTCGAGGTACATAACCACGCTACCTATACAGACGGCACTGCTGGAGAAGAATGCGTTGGGTATTGTGGATGAAGTTATCAATGTCCCTATACCAACAACTTGAATTTTCTTTCTCCATTCCAAATTTGAATTCTGACTGTGTGCAAGGTCACCCATATAATGAAGTGGCCAGATGAAATCTGTGAACAAAATAATTTGACGGCTCCGTGGCGCAGTGGCTTAGCAATCAGTTGTTGCGCTGGGGGCCGCGGGTTCGAATCCCGCACGGAACAAGTATTTGTATGGCCTACAAATTAATAATTGTTCCGGGTCTGGATGTTTGTCCTTATGCAATGCAAATATGCCTTCACGACACAGGAGAAAATTCTAGTGTGGGGGTAACGTTTTTCAATAATAAAAAAAAATTCTTATCACAAATATGACATCCATATAGCTTTATTATGTTCATTTTTCAATCTGTTTCATTCATTCTTAATATATTTTTTAAGATTAGAAAGTAAAATATAATATCAGGAATGTAATATAATGAAATGATTTAGTTTATGCTTTTGGAACTGGCAATATTTGCTTCTTTATTTGAAAATCTTGAATTTGTATAATTTACTAATTTACAAGCTATAGACATTTTCGAATGTAAAGTGCTAGAATTATTTTATTCGACGTGCGTTTGAATATGCTTCATTGGTCGTTACGCGACTGCTGATCGTAATGTCCTGGGTTCGAATTCCGGGTCAGGCCAAATAAATTTGTTAATGAGTTTTTCTGTCAAGAATTTCTCAGTAGCAGTCCGGAGTAAAAAAGTTTGCCGTGATTTACCACCGTGCCTCGGAAAAGTAAAGCGGGTGGTCCTGCGCCGAATTTCTCTCTGGTCATATCGGGTTGTCGTTCTATTGGACTTTGAGAGTTAGGTAATGGAGAGTGCACGTACCTGTTACCACTATAATCTTGTCCTGCGTCAAGGCCGTTGTGACCGAAATTCGGTGTTGAGAACATTATTATTTGTCATGCGTTATTAAGTGTGTATGTGTGGCGGGATGGTTGCAGGTGGAGTGTGGTGGAGTGCGCATGCGCTACCCGCTGCCGTACGCGCTGCTGACGGAGATGGAGGCGCCGAGCTCGGGCGCGCCCGCCGCCGCCGCCGCCGCGCTCGCGCGCCGCGCGCTGCGCTCGCTCGCCACGCCGCGCCCGCACCAGGTGCGCACGCACACGCACACCGCACGCACACGCACGCACACCGCACGCACACACGCACGCACGCACACCGCACACATACACATACACTTACGCATACGTACACGGCCTGTTGGTCAAATTACAGATTACGCAGTAGGAAGTGGGAAACAGTGCTTTCTTAAAACATTGACAGCTCTGAGTGTACTTCCAAAATTAAATGAAAGGACAGATAATAATCGTTTGATTACAAGAATATTTTGAAGTCATTAATATTGGTTTGATATTGACGGTCCATACAATTATTTTCTTTATCTTAGACAAATTAATAAATAATAAATACTCACCTATTGATAATTTATATTCACCCAACTATAACAATTTATAAATTATTTCAGACACCGGAGCTCTGCTACGGTGACACGTCGGGCGAGAAGTGTGAAGACTTTCTGGATCCCACCCGGAAAACACCTTGTACCTGCGCAAAGTGAGTACCCACACTGTTGTCAACAATGCTCCTGTTGCCACTACTCTACATTACAGACACGAGTATTGTTGGAAAATATGCGCCCGAAAGTTTTAAATGACCATGTTTTCATTATTAATACCTGTATGCTGATAAAAATATTTTCGTAAAATCATTTTTATTTTTGTGTAAACAATTATATGTAACCCCTTAAAATATTATTGTTAAAATCGCGTGCATTTCTCAACAATATTTTTATACAAACTATATACAGTAGATATGAGCAGTATGTAGCAGTAGTTGTATGAAAATTGTGTGTCATGCATTTATACATACGTATATTATACAGAAAAACATTACACTTTATGTACTTCAACCCATCGGGATGAAAGATGTATCGTCAATCACAGTCAAGCCACTACTATGTGCTTCAGAGTATTAGGTACATATTGACTGTTATCGACGCATTTTTGTGTAGCTCTAAACAATTTAACATACAGTATGTAGTTCAAATGTAGATAGATAGGTAGATGTTATGTGAATGTGTTATAGAAATTTCGATAGTTTATTATATTTTAAAGTATATTTTAAACTGTAGAGGGTATCAGCTTCACCAATAGTTGCACCTTGAGGTGCGTCTATTGATTTTATTTATAAAAGCATGTTGGGAAAATCTACACATTTTTACTGTAGTAAAAAAAAAACTTGAATTAACTTTCGTCGGTTGTTTCCGTATTTTTTATTAAACTATAACTTTAATAATATAACAATTTAGTATACGTTTTTGAGATTGTATTTCGAAGTCGGTTTTCATCGTTTTTTATTAAAAAACAATCGCACGAATGTGTCGATTCTTCCGACAACGCCTTGCGCGCGCAGGCTGATGTCGTACATCGGCCTTCAGCGCCACTCGTGCCTGCCTTGTCCGTGTGACTCGTCGGATATCTTTATATCTAATTACATACATATTTATACCAATATTTTTTAAAGTATTTAATTAAATACTAAAATTTAAGGTTTCTTTTAAAGCTTTAAGCTTGGCAATTTGATTTTGTGTTTGTGAGACTTGATTGGTTTTGGGTGTTTATCTTTTTCTTGTTTAAGTTGAATATTTTTTTTTAAATTGTTATGAGATGATTACTAAAAATCATATATTTTATCAGTTTGTTAAATTCATAAAACAATCCTAGTTTTTTTTTTTTTTTGGATAAAATATAGCCTAGATCACTACTCGTCTTGTTCTAGAATCTGTTTGTGAAGTTTTATTACAATTGGAATCAGATACAAAAATTTTAAGAATAAATCAATTGCATGCATACTATCTTCGGGGCTTAAAGAAGTAGCCGTTTCTGTATTACAGATAGACACTTCAATTTTGATTATCATATTTTTCAAATTACTTATTTCGTTGGAGATTTTATCTCGATCTATAGGTGTAGTACTTTTTTTTTGGTTTGATATTTACAAAAACGTAAAAATGTTTTTTTTTTTCATTTTGTTTTTTTCGTAACTGAATGCCACTGTGATTTTTCATCTCCCATTATGAAACAGCAGATTCCACTTAAAGTGTAGTCTCAGTATACGCACGATATTCGATTTTGAGTTTGCGAGATAGTTATCGCGCGTCGCGTTGCGCTACTGTGCTAGTAGCCGTCGTTGGAATTGAGAAAGGGTCACACGGACGCGGCGGCCGGGCCGGCGGTCGGGCCGGCGGCGGGCAGGAGGGCTAGGCGCGGCTGCATGCGGTCCGGACGCTGTGGGCGGCAGTAGTTGTGTTGTGCAGGTGGCGGCGGCGGCGCGCCCCCCGCCCGCCGCCCTTCCACCGGCGCGCGCCGCGCCCCGCGCGCCCCCCCGCGCCCGCGCCCGCGCACCCGCCCGCCGCGCGCCCCGAGCAACCCGCCCGCCCCGCGCGCCCCGCACGCCCCGCACGCCCCGCAAGCCGCGCGCCATCGTGAGTACGCGCACGCACTCGCACGCCCCGCGACGCACCGCATCGCACCGCATCGCATCGCATCGCATCGCCTCGTCGACTTATACTGACACTGCGACCTCACCAGTTCTTAATGCAAACACATGCGACTGTTTCTTTAACCTTATCACATTGCAAAATTTGTGTTACATTATTCTTTTCAAAGTAACAATATTTGATACAAACTCATTTAATTACTTCAAAATCGCTAAAACTAAACTGGTGATCTTGCAACTTCAAGTATAAATTGGTATTAACAAGTTCAAATCCTTGCCGGCGAACGAGCCCTGCCTGAAAATGCAACATGTTATAGGTAAGTTCTGTTAGCGAATCCATCACCAGTGCACACCTCACTCGGCTGTCGTCATAACGGCGTAAATGTTTAAATAAGGAGGATATGAAGAATTGACTGTTCTGCAAGCAATCTGAATTATTATCTGAATCTATTCCAAAACATACTACTTATTTTGTAAGTACTCAATAGAAATCTATAAACGTACCTATCACAGTATTATATATTATGCTCAAAAACCTGTTATAAAAAAGAAGAATAGCCCTGCTACATAACCCAAGGTATGTTAACTCAAATGATATCACTTAAGACTTTTTATCAAATAAGCTCAAACAATGTTTAAAACGCAAGCCACCAACTATGAAATGCCGCTTGTATGCATGTTACATTGCCTTCATACAGCTATGATTATATTTATCTCTACAGCATTCTCGTATATAGCATGATTTATTCCTATCGTTTTAGATTGCATGTTTTATATCTTTATAACAAAATAGTTTTGACATCTCTACATGTTATACATTACACTTTATCACATCATTTTCTACAACCCATTTCACAACTTTAGTACATTCGTCAACTGTTTTTAACAATTTATTGCTTTTTTCTAATGATTTATAAATTAAAGTTGTCAAAATTCAAAACATCATGGAAGGTTTATTTGGTGCATTATACTAATTATTTTGTCGCCAAATCGATCTTTGAAATCTTCCTATATAATTTTGAAGATCTCTGTGCGGCACCTTTCAAGTACTGAGGAGCTGCTTCGTTCCCCTTCGCACATTCTACTTGTCTGTTCTGTAAATCCACTATCCTTATACAGTACAAGATAACTTTATTTTTAACAGTTTTCGAATGCATTACTGATAATTATTACATAGCGGTTTCTAAAAGTCGATAAAAAATCTCTCACGGTTTAGTTAGGTGGCAATTGAGAATCCATTCCATTATTCAATTTACATGCATATTATAACATCTACCTCTCATCTCAAAGCGGATCACAGGATGACATTCTGATCGATTTGTCATATTATCATGATGCGAATTTGGAATACCATTCATTAATACGTGGGAAGTTCCAAGGTTTAATTGAAAGTGCAATAGTTTCAGTTTGACATATATTGCACTTTTAATGCTTCATTTGCTCATCGAGGGACGAGTGATGTCTATGGAGCGTATAGGAGAGGAGAAAAATCGCATTGTGTTGTTATAGTACCAAAGTCCTAAACCTATAAGATTAGAAAGTACAAAAAGTGTTTGAGAAGATAAGATTAACATAAGTATTTGTATATGCAATTTGTGTGTAAAATACCTCCTTTAAAATATTAGTATCATGCAAAAGAAATTCCTAGCGTGGGAGTTATTTTTTTTTTTTAATGTGGAATGTTTATTTTTTTTTCTTTTTCGATACTTTAATTTCAAGTTTCATGAGATATTTCTCTTTGTACTCTACACTCCATAGTGATATTTAAAAGTTTAATTATGACATTGGATTCAACTGGCGAAGCCGTTGCAACTTGGTTTTCGAAAATAAATAAGTAATTGGAACAAGATGTACCATTTGTGCACGAAGTTGCAAAGGTTGAGTCTTCGGAGTGTGGGTAATATTACCCAATTTCACTGTAAAGTATCATTTTTATTACGAGTCTTACCATTAAAATAAAAAGAAAGTAGGCTATAATATTGATAAAAAATTTTAATGTATTCTCTACGCATTGTTTGCGTTAAATATATTTTCAATAACTATGGTGTACGTAGAAATATATTACTGCTTGCACTAATTGGCTAAGTACCCATTTAGGCAGCTAAATTGGTACAAAATAAGCAAGTATTAGAAAAAAATGGAACCTACTATTCTTTTTATTTTTGTCGTATTTACTTATTTCATTGTTTGGATACGCTTACGACAATAAATAAGAATTCCTTTCACGTGACATCTTTGTTCCTTTAAAGTTTTGTAGCAACAATACCTAAGTAGATAGAAAAACATGATGTGTGCGGTTTACACGCGGCAGAAGTGAAAGCTTATTTATTTTTATTAATAAAATTTGTTATTATTATTTTATTAAGATCGAGATAATAGAAACACTGTATACTATGTTCTGTCTCATTTTCCTGCAGGTTTAAAATCGTATAGATGGGTTTGTCTTTTTTTCTTTTCATCGAGTTTCAAATAACAACGATTCTAAAGAAGTTTTCATTTCAAAAACTGATTCAAAAAAAGAACTTAAATGAATGAAACTTGTAATAGAAGTTGATGTCACGTGAGAGCGGTGTGTGTGTGTGGGGCGCGGTGCGCTCGTGTGTGACGTAGTGTTGTGCGCGTGTGCAGGGCGCTGGGCGGCGCGTGCTCGCCGGGCAGCTGCGGCGCGTCGCCCGCGGCCGGCGCGTCGGCGCCGCCGTCGGCCGGCGCGCCGCCGCCCTCGCCCTCGCCGCACCGCTCGCCGCACCTTGCCGCGCTGCCCGCGCACCAGGTACACATTACACATTGTGCTAACACCTCTATAACTATTACAATTTTATTTATACTTTTTGTTGCCCAACTATATTGCAACATAATAAACACAAGGTAATAAAGCTAAAATAATAATACAACATCATTATTTGATTTTATGTATGTTATTGAAACCACTAAGTAAAAAAATTCATAATACACGACATGTTTATAGAAACAAAACAAATACTTTGGTACTGATTTATTATGTATTATTATTATTAATGACCTTGGATAATGTAGTATAAATACACAAAACTTACATTATTAAAGTTACATTTAAATGGATTATTTAATTTATGATATATTTAAAAAAAACTTATGATTGTAATTGTAGAAAGCAGTTATTGAACGGCAAATTTTCTGTAATCGTATAGTTTAATTTTATAATAATACATAAAGAGTAAACGTGTTGATAAAATGCAGCTGATGTAAGGGTATGTCCGTAGTCGGGCGGCGCGGTGCCGACTACGCTGCATACGCCGGCGCCCACGCCCGACCCGCATGCGCCGGCCACGCCCGCGCCCCCTTCCGCGCCACCGAACAAGCCCTACCCGCAGGTACCGCGCCGCTTGCACCACCGCACACTGATATTTGATAATTTTATATCTCGCCTTGAATATAAAAATATATCCGATTCGAAGGACATACACAAAATATTCACAATAGTACACAATGTTTATGATTATATATTATATTACAAAAAAAATGATTATATGGATTGGTATTATTGTTTATTAGTTAAATACACAACAGTAAAATTAAATGCCTGCAAAACAAAACGTATGTTCATTTGTACATGTCAATCAATATTTTAAAAATTTCTATGGAAATATCTTTCACCGGCACTAATTTTATTATTAACTCTTTATACTGAAGTATATTTTAAAAACAATCAGCATAAATATGTGTCGTTTGCGGTACGACAGGGGGACTCGCCCAGCTACGCGGGCAACGGGAACGGGCCGGGCGCAACGACGGGCTCGGAGCTACTGCGGCGGCCCGTGCTGCCGCCCGCCGAGCAGCGCCTCGACCCGCTCGAGGACGAGCACTCGCTGCACATGCTCTACGACTACACCACCGTGCACGCCTGGTAGGTACACTGTAATGTTGAACTACGGCATCATTCTTCTTTTATTTTATATTTTAGTACGGTATTTAAAAAATCACGTTTTCTTGTAATGTTTTATCGCCGGGGCTGCATGAGTAATAAAATAATTTAACCTAGTTATGTAACATATAAAATAAAAAGAATTACGTCGTAAAGAAGTTTCACTTCGTATGTGTGTACACAGTTACACGCACAATTTTTTAATGTTCCGACTTCTCGAGTGAGATGTGGTTACGTCTAAATGTTTATCATTTGCGAGATTACACCACGGTCACATTGTTACGAGTGTGAATGGTGTGAATCAATTTCCTCGCTACATACTTATACCAAATAGCGCATCAACACCGCTTCAGTTTACGAATGTTGTGTTCATTATTTGGTGACACTATTTTTATAAGATTTTCGTAACCTCCGTTGACCGCGAGATCAATTGAAAGGTTTAACTCGGTTGGTTTGAGATATTGCGATCTATCGTCTCGTCACGTATTTCTAAAAAAATTTGGGAGACCAGTGCATGTTGTTAATGATGACATAATATGGATAACTTATACATGGTCTTAGGGTGCTCAACAAGTTATGGGAAGGGTTGTGCCTGATAGAATTAGTAATGAAGATATAGTAATTGATATAAACCTGATAGATCTGTAAGCTATAATGGTAATAGGCCGGCCATATAGCTCGAAAGATTGAAAATAGACTGGTAAGAAAAGTTGTTCAGTAGTAGCTTCGTATCGTTCAGTGAAGTGAAGTGAAGGACGATTTCCCATTAGATGGAGTGACGACTTAGTAATAGATATCGGTGGATGCAGATAGATCAGAAAGGAGTATGTTAATTTTTAACTGTTATAAACCAGTTCTTGACTATTATTTCATCTGATGGTAAGTGGTGATGGCAGCACATTGACTTAATAAAAGCCTGTTTATTTTTGCCTTGAAGATATCGATATTGTAATGGAATGAAAAGAGATGCTGGCAAATTATTGTTCTCTAGCTGTACGTATACTGTACGTACGTATGTTCAGCAGTGGAGTTGTGAGGAGTGTGATGTGAGTTTATGTGCGCGTGGCAGGCTGGAGCACCCGGTGAAGCGGTTCAAGGCGGAGGCGCGCGGCGGCGAGTGGAGCGAGTGGAGCGAGTGGAGCGAGTGCGGCGAGCGGCGCGAGTGGCGCGAGTGGCGCGCGAGCCGCGAGTGGAGCGGCTGGAGCGAGTGGGGCGAGCGCGTGGCGCGGGGCGCGTGCGCCGCCGACCTGTACGCCGGGCTGCCGCACACGCCGCCGCCCGCGCCGCAGCCCGCGCCGCCGCTACACCTCAAGCACGACCGCAACGACGTCAGTACACCTTACTTTTATATATTTTCTTCGGTTCCGTAACGCATAAAAAATAGACAAACCATACAACTTTGCTGTCGACTCTTCAACTGTCTGTTGAAGTTCGTTTTATAAGAATAGGTAATCTCGGATAGAATATCGAAATTTATATTAAATGTTAAGGTCTACGGTCCCTGTGCATAAACAAATCAAGCTTTTAAATCAACGCATTCAAAAGATCCGGCCATGATCACATATTTTAACTAGCTTACTCTAGCTAGCATAATCGCAAACTCACTTTCCATACATCAAAAATACAGCTTTCAAAATAAAACCGTATAGGTAGGTCCCGCGGAAATATGTGAATTAAATATAAAATATAGAATTTGGCAACAAGTGTAAAATTTACCAAAGACTTTGGCTTATGGCTAAGGGTAGTTTTTTACGTGGTAGAGCCATGCTGCTGCAGCTATATTAGTAGTATAGTTGTAGCACGAATGGGTCGGTTCGACCGGCTGTGTTTCGTATGGTGAGTGTAGAGAACCGGAAACCCTTTTTACTGGAAATGAGGCATTCCATCGAAGTCCTCACGGGTGACAACGCATCTGCATTTTGATTTATAATAGAGGATAGATGTAGATGTCTATGGGCCGCAGCAACCACTTTCCATCAGGTGGACTGTGTGCTCGTTTAACACCCTTATCCTATAAAAAAAGGGACTGTTTTGAAGAACTTTATTTAGAATAACTATAACTATTGTAGTTTAAACCCGAAACTATCAATAAACTACTTTTTATAAAAAGACGAGTATATAGGTCCCATTGACCTAATATCATAAAAATCTCACAACACAAATAAAGAAAAAAAGTTGAAAATCCTTAATTTGTAATGTACATACATAATTAAGTTTATACAGAACTCTAAAGACGCGACTACTACTCGCACTTGCCTGGTTTTTTTTTTAATGTTGGGCGCCCGACGATAAAAAACCATAGTCTTTAATCATCCCATAGGACGTGTCAGGCCTCATTGTTAGCGGAGGAATGATACCGAACAATTTCTAAACGATTTGTAAAATTCGTAAAAATAGTTTAATTCGACCATATAGTAAAATAAACCACACCACCAAATACTGTATGAGGAACGAAAAATCGGACCTTTGTATATATATAATATATATATATATATATATTTATTTATTTATATATATTTAGTTTCGTTATGCTGTCTCATATATTTAAAAATTAATGAGACAGTATTGCCCATGTGCTAGTGTAAGCTCGGCGTTTTTCTACCTTTTAACTGTGTGACAGTTTTCTGCCGGAAAGGCAGAGAGTTAATTGGTGCAAAGGCTCAGGGCCACACTTTGTAGCAGTCTTGGTTTGCCTTTATTTAGCAGTAGACTTTAATTTTGCAGGATGACGTAAAAGAGTACAAAAACCTTTTTACATCGGATGGACTATGCCCAACGTTGAAAGATCTAGATCAAATATTCGATAACTCGGATGATGCGGCCAGCGGCGATGAAACGGTAAGACTTGTGAGTGTACACCCTTATATCTTTGCATGCTTTTATATTCATATTCATAATGTAATATAATCTTATTAGTTAATTTATTATTAAGAATTATTAAGAAACTTAAAAGTCATAATATGCATGATTGGTTTATTAATTCACCATGGAAGTTGATAATTATACAAATTAGTAAGATAATAATTATATAAATTAATGTGACAGTTAAAACAAAATGGGTACAATTAAAAATAAAGGTGTTTTATTAAATAACCGGATGCACTGACCCTGTTTTATTGTATAGAAATTTACTAGAATTATTATAAACTATATGAACTATAATTATATAATATTATACTATATTAATTTATTATAATGTTTGTAGGTAGATATTTTTTACAGCATTTAGGCCATTCACGATATAGATTTTTCTTTTAAGGCTTCTTTTGTGCTTAAGGGTGGGTACACCACACCCTCTAACGCATTTAACTAATTTCTACACTATCTAATTTAACGCCGCTAAATAACTGTGTATTTGTTGTTGTGTCGTAATTACAGTATCAGTAGTAGTGCACATACAATACCTGCATGATATAGTTGAAGATTTGATTTAAATCAAGGTCTGTAGAAAGATATGTCTACATAGTATTACCACAGTTTTAAGACCTTACAGTTAGGAAATGAATGTACTTGTGCAGAACAACGGTGGGGCTCTTACGGGGCAGGGGGCGGGCCGACCTTGTGCTAGCGCACTTCACTGAGTCTGCTATACCAATACATGCGGTCGGCGCGAGCGTGTTCTAAAGTACTTATTTAACTAATTTTAAGCGTCATGAAAATGTTTGGCACTGCAACACTTGTAAATGGATTTTTCTTGTAGTAATAAAAATGATCTTGTAATTAATGTTTTTATCTTTTAAGTATGTATATTGTTAATGGGTATTATAATATTCAAAATTTATTTTTTTCCAATGTCGTGACAACGTTAACACATAGGCGGGCGGTGGCATCGCCAGACATCAAAAGCGTTTCACAACTGTGAGGTCTTTAAATTATGGTATTACTTTTGTAACTGTTCAAAATCAAATTATAGCAACCAGAAATTCCAAGAATCGTCTTAAGCTAAGCATTTAAAACCTCTGTGTGCTCCAATTTAAAACAATTAACCTGAGGTCGACAAAGTCGTATGGCTTTTTTATACCTTTTATACTTATAAACAATTATTTTAATACCGATTATGTATTATAAAAAAATATTGTGGCCTTGTATTTGTCTATCTATTTAAATGTAATCAAATTTACATTTAAATAGATAGACAAATTGTATATAGCAAGTTGTTGTTTGTATATAGCAAGTTTAGCCTCCTCAAATAAGCAAAGAAAGCTAGACAGAACACTACACATACAATTTAAGTTACGTCGAAACTATACTTAATTTTATGATACGCATACATTTTTTTTATCAGCTTTTAAAAGTCCAATACTGGGCTTGCACTTATGCACCTAAAACCATGTTGTTAGCTGAAAATGATTTTAGATGCATATTATGCGAGTGCGTATTTTTGCAATGAGGGCTTAAAATATTACGCTCATCAGATGTTGATTGACTGAGGCGAACTTATTTGTCGCATAGATGGTGTCATAGTGTCATCATAATTGAAAAGTTTTAAAAATTGTTTCAGTTTTTAATGTATGTAAATACAAGTAGAATATTTTTTTTACACTTTTTTTAATTTTTTTTTAGTAGTATCCATACTTTGGGTTATCCATTTCTAATCTAATAAATACAAAATATAACTAGTATTTCAGAAAAAAATAATATTTTTTACACTTTTCCCACATGGCCTTATTCCAAAGTGGCGATGCCCTGGTGGCATGGTGGCATGGTGGCAGAAAAGGTCGTGGATTATTATTATAGGTAGTGTTCTGTGTACGTTTGTTGTTGGGCGTGAAGTCGCGTCGGCTGACGCGGTGTGGTGTGATGGTGCGCACAGATGGCGCTGGCGGCCGGCGCGGGCGCGGGCGAGGCGGCGCGCTGCGAGGAGGCGCGCTGCGGCGGGCGCTGCGTGCGCGCCGAGGAGCTGAGCAAGATGTTCCCCACGCCGCCCAGCATGGAGGCGCACGCGCAGCCCTCGCCCGGCTTCTCGCTGCCCGACGACGCCACGCCGCAGCCGCACGTGCACCGCCACCTGCTGCCCGGCTCGCCGCCGCCCGACCCCATCGAGGTACCGCCACCGCCGCGCACATTGATCACTTCATTTATACTGCGATTACCTTATAAACTCTCTAACAGATATTATATTGTCATCATTTTCCGTGTTAACAAAGATATTTTCTCGTTCTATATTATTCAACAAAGTCAAAGGTAAGTGTTAGGATCGAACATTCGCCCGATACCGAATGTAATATAGTGTATGTAACTGAAACCACACGATCGTACTATACAAGAGCGTTTATTGAAATCATTGTAATGTTCAATACTTGTTATGTATAGAAATCAAATAAAAGCATTGACATAATATTCGAGCGCATGCTTGTTTAGATACTGCATCTTTATTAAGGCGGCTCTTTACGTTGGCCAACATACTGACGAATGTGTTGGCCAAAAACGATAGCCATCATGTAGAACGGGTGTTTATGCTTACGTTGGTATGTATTGGAATGATGGCCCACAAGTTGGCGCGAGATCCATATGGTGTCGGTTTTTTTACAAAAGACCAAAGGATTGTGGCAGAGTATTGGCCGCCGCGTCCACACGTTGGGCGCACGTTCAGTTTGCTACGAGCTCCCAGAGTGATCGCACGCACCTGATTTAAATTTTATATGCACGCATCGTTACTAGTGTCTATATAATGGCAGTGAAAATGACCAATGAAAATACTTTTCGCTTTATAGAGCCCTACTAAGCCGAAAATTCTTTGTGAAACACAAGTCTTTCAAGTCTTTTTTTTATAAAAACGTTACCACCGCACTAGGATTTTCTCCTGTATCGTGAAGGCAGTTTACAAACATAAATTGCATAAGGACAAACATCCAGAACCGGAGAAATTATTTGCAGGCCATACAACCTACTTGTTCCGTGCGGGATTCGAAACCGCGGCTCCCAGCGCCGCAACTCTTTTCTTATACACATTCACGTTGTAGTGGTATGCTCTGAATAAATAAACCGCAGCAGCCGTTAGTGCCTCAATAATCATTTTAATAAATTCGTCCGCACGTTGGCCTGAACCGAAGCAAACTGAACGACCTTCCAACGTGTGGACGCGATCACAAATTCTTGGCCAATATCTTTGCCAACATATTCGCCACTATGTTGGCCAACGTGAAAAGCCGCCATTAGAGACACAAAGATTATCCAATTAAGGCCCGCTCTATAGATACGGAATTCCGTTTCGAGATTCCGTTTCGGAATTTCGAACGGTCGGCCACACACAAACGGAATCCCGTTTTGCCCGCAAAATATCGAACGGAAAACTACCGTACGTGTGTGGCGGGTCATAGATTTTATATGGACTTGCTGCGTTCGGGATTCCGAATCGGAATATCGAAACGGAATCTCGAAACGGAATTCCGTATGTATGTGGCCGGCCTAAGAGTGTATATCATTCAAGAGAAGTCAAAAATTCACAAAGTCCTGGCAGTCATTACGAGTATTTAGTCCATAGACCATGGTCTATTTACTAGATACTAGTACTGTTTTAATTAGGTATATTGAAATTTAATTAAAAGCAGTATTGCTCCTACGTCATGAAAACTGTGACAAATGTCCCTACTATAAGACAATTTATGGAGAAAGTCCTCATTCAGTAGTGGAATTTGATATGACGTAATGGCGATGATGATGAAAAGCGGTATTTATTTTTTCTTTATTTCACCAAACTCTAACCCCCCAAGTTTAAATGATTAGTGTTTAACAAAGTAGTCTTATGAATCAAACTTCAATAACTAAGGAATAAGTAGATAAAGAATTTTTTAATCGCTGCACCAAATATTGATAAAAATTTTATGTTTGTTTATTGTATTCAATTTATTTTTAAAGTGGCAAATGGACCGTTACATTAAGTTAAAACGTGTGCAGGACTGGTCGTACGTGTTCAAACCACCGACGGTGTGCAAGTACGTGGGGTCATCGAAGTATGCGGCGCTGAGCACGCTGCCCAGCCAGCTGCTGCCGGCTGTCACGCTGCCGCCGCACGCCGTGTACCGGCCGCGCTGGCAGCACGACGCCAAACGCGAACCGGACCCGGACCCGGACCCGGATCCGAACACGCTCCCGCCCCGCACCGGTCAGTGTCCCGCTCGCTAACCTCCTAACCTAAATTTAATATTAGTTCGGCTGAAATAGGTTGTATTTTGAGTATACTGGCAGAGAGCCACACTCGGAGGTGGCAGTCATTAATTTCTATATCACATTGATTCTGCATTTCTAAATACTCATGATTATAATATGTGTAACAGGAACTAGGTATGGTACGAATAATGCTGACATAATCCTTGTGTGATCAAAGCCTCCTTAGAAAGAACCCCTAAACCTAATAATAATTCTTCTATATCAGATCTAAATCCATATAAGTTGATAGATCTATATTATAAATATTAAAAACATTAACTTTGGTAATATACATTATAACCATTCGATAATGTCGATCTCTTTTACTGATCAATATGATTATCTACTCTAAGCTATATGAAAACGTATACACAATGTTTAGCGTACAATGTTGATAAGGAATGTACTTCCTTCTTTAAAGTAAAGAAATAGTTCCTAATTTTTTTTTCTTTGTTGTGGAAATAAGTTGAAAGTAATTTTTCATGATTTCTTTTACAGGGACAACAAATAGTACAAACAACAGCAGTAGTAGGGGTTTAAAGAGGCCCGTGTCGCCAAGCACGGACGCGCGGCCTGCGAGCGTGGCGGGCGCGGGTGTGGGGGTGGGCGCGGGGGCGGGGGCGGGGGCGGGCGCGGGGTCGCCGCGGCCGCAGCGCAGCCCCGCGTCGCCCGGCTCGGTGGCGTCGCCGCAGCCGCCCGCCGCCGCCTGCCCGCTGCTGCTCAACGTGCTGCTCACCGACACCGTGCTCAACGTCTTCCGCGATCACAACTTCGACAGCTGCACGCTCTGCGTCTGCGACACGGAGGTACCTACCTCTAATCTTAAATATCACCGACGTATAATACATCTATCATCATTATTGTCATTATAGCACTATAGCGTAGACGTGGTAGAGCCATGCTGCAGCTATATTATGGTAGTAGCACGAATGGGTCGGCTCGACCAGGGAAGGACCACGCTCTCACAGAATAGAAGTGCGAGGGAGATGGATGGAATAATATCCATCTCCGTCGCACTTCTTATCTTGCCATAAAAGAAATATTATTTTACTAGCTGTTCCCCGCGACTTCGCCCGCGTGTTATTTGGGGGGTTTAATTTTTTTTTTGCGCGGAACCCTAATTAGTTTTCTAAAATAAAAGTAGCCTAAGTTACTTCTTGTGACATCAGCTATCTGCCCGTCGATTTCAAATGACGCTTCATTTTAAGTCGCTAGTAATTCATTTATTTGTATTTGTTAATCAATATATAATACCTACGTTTATCTATAATAATATACTACGTAAGGAATTTCGTTCCAACCGAGTGTTCCACGACACTCACACATTTTATATTTATATTTTGAATATATTATCAAAAAGTTGCTGCTGCTTATCTGATGTCATCTCATTCAAAGGAATACAAAGAGCACAAGGTCCACATTGCGAAAATATACATCATTTACATTTATACATTATAGTATGTATATTATGTATATTGGCAGTCGGTGGATATTGTTTTAGAGAAAGTTTTTAGGTAGTTGGTTGAGCGCGACAGTAAGAAGTGCGTGCGTGCGTGTGCACAGGTGGGCAACATCCGCGGCGCGGACGCGGCGGCGTACCTGGCGCACGGCGAGGCGGCGCCCGAGCACGAGAGCGTGCGCTGCTCGTGCGGCTTCAGCGCCATCGTCAACCGCCGCCTCGCGCACCGCGCCGGACTCTTCTACGAGGTACGCTATGTTATATTGTTTCGTGTATTGTTTTGGTATCGGTGGGGCCATAACATGTGCTAATTTGTCTTCTTCGAGGCAGGAAAAGCCTTGGTATGTGGTATAGCTTCACTTAAAGTTATATTATGGTTTTAGCATGAAAATGGGTCTACTCGACTGGGGAATGAGCACACTCTCACACAATAACAGCGTAGTAGATTAATTTTTTAGTGGTAGAGCCACGCGACAGCTTTTGCTGTCGCACGGATGGGCCGGCTCGAACCGGGGTGGTACCACGACCTCACAGAAAACCAGCGTGAAATAGAGGTTTATCTCTGCGTTTCGCTTGGTGAGTGCAGATGGCCGGAGGCCCTCTTACTGGAACTGAGGCATTCCATCTTAGTCCTCACGGGTGACAACGCATCTACATTTTGATTTATAATAGAGGATAGATGTAGATGTCTATGGGCCGCAGCAACCACTTACCATCAGGTGGACTGTGTGCTCGTTTGTCACCCTATACTATAAAAAAAAAAATACTGTTGTTTCGTATGGTTAGTGTAGAGAACCGGAGATCCTTTTTACTGGAAACAAGTTCGATCTTAGTTCTCTGAGGTGGGAAAGCATCTCCATTTTGGTTTTTAATCGAGGATATATGTAGATACGACTACGGGCCATTGCATCCACTTTGCATCAGGTGGACTGTGTGCTCGTTTTTCATCGTTATTGTATAAAAAAGTGCAGTATACAGTGTTGTTGTTATATGTTTACGGTTGCAGGACGAGCTGGAGATCACGGGGCTGGCGCTAGAGGCGATGGAGGCTGTGGAGGGTGTGGAGGCGGGTGCGGCGGGTGCGCGGGGCGCGGGCGGCGGGCGCGGCGCGGCGCTGGGCGAGGTGGCGGGCGTGCTGGCGGCGCAGTGCGCGGCGCCGCCCGGCGGGCCCGCCTCCGCGCTGGCCCGCGCCGCCGCGCGCCCGCCGCCCGCGCCGCCCGCCGACCACCTGCGCCTCAACCTGCTCGAGTCAGTACCCACATACCCACATACCCACATACCCACGTACTCACATACCCACGTACTCACATACCCACGTACTCACATACCCACGTACTCACATACCCACTTACTCAGACACTAAACACGCGCACCGCACGTGTACTACGACCTCCGTGTTAAGTTTTTAACACGTTTTTATTAGCTTCACGTGTATCTATCTGTCTATCTATGTAACGGAATCTTTTCATTTTTAATTTTCATGTTATTTTCTACAACTTGTAGACAATTAGCAATCGTATCAAGAACCGATGACAATGCAATCATTTAATAACTTTATCCTGTTATCCTAATCAAATTCACCAGAGTAAAATTAAACAATTTATAAGTTTGACCTGTATATATCTATAATTATATGAATGTCATATAATTTTGCAATTTGGTTTCTCACCACTTCCAGACGACTTTATTTTCTAAAATTTAGCAAACGTATTATAAACCGATGACAACAATAATTTCATGACTATGACCTAGTGCGCCCACTAAAATCATCACTGCTCATGATAAATGCGTGTTGTTTAAGTATTTTAAACTTTTTATATTATATAAACATTATAAACCGGTGCTTGACTGCTATCCCACCTGATGATAAGTAGACAGATGAAGATGAAAAAGCATACTTTAACATAACAAAAACTTACTGAATTTTGCCTTAAAATTGGATTCAAAGACAAATTATGGCAAATCGTTTCACTACCTTGATGCAAACCATCTGATTCAAATACGAGGTATGTCAACAGCAAAAAGGTGGAGACTGATCAAGCCGAAGGAGGTATTAAGTTATCCAATTCCTGCGCACATTCTTTCAAATGTATTCTGTAGAACATGGAAAGACAAACTATTATGGATATCTGTATACAAGAATAATAAAATTGACTTCAATCAAATTAAGATTAACGAGTCTGTGGCGTAGTGGCTGGAGTGTTGCGCTGTGGGCCGCGGGTCGGAATCCCGCACGGAAGAAGTATTTGTGTAGCCTACAAATAATTGTTCCTGGTCTGGATGTTTGTCCTCGTGTAATTTATGTTTGTAAATTGCAACCACGATACAGGAGAAAATCCTAGTATGGGGATAACGTTTTTATAAAAGAAAATCTTTTAACTCGGTTTTCAATTTAGTGTTTTTTATTTATATTTTTCTTAGAGTATAAATACATCTAAATAGATGTTGGTATGGTAACAGTTAGATTTAAAAGAACGAGTTTCTGCATCTTTTTCAATCGTTACAATCAAAATTACGTTAAGGCTTTCTCTATGTTTTTTAAATGTTTACCCTTACAATTCGTCCTCACAAAAAGTTCACATGCCATCATAATATAATATAAAAGAAAATATGGATCAATGCCTTTGTAATTGTTAGTTTTTAAACGCACTTCGTTGATAAAAAAAAATGTTTATGAAAAAATGCGTAACGTTTAAACAGGTACAGCGACGGCGGCGCTGCGGCCACGTGTGCGCTGCGCGAGGCGTCCGGCGGCGGCAGCGCGCCGGCCGGCGCCGCCAGCGCCGCCAGCAGCGGCCCCGCGCCCAGCACCGCCACCGTGCACCGGTGGCCCTTCATCGGAGCCCGCGCGCCGAGGTCCTCAAGGGACGTAGTAAGGTAATCCCGACTTGCACTATTACGTTAATTTCGTTTCACTTTTAGAAGGCGTTTTATACTGGATAGTTAGATGACTTTGTCATCATTTCTCTATGTACTTTCCTATTGAAAATGTAAAGGAATAGGAAATGATATTAATTCCTTGAAGTAAAATAAACATCTTATTGATTATGTATAAAAATAAAAATCTAATTTTATTTACAACAGAAACAACCAACTATTTGAAATAGCGAGTTAAAATTTTAAAATGTAGTAATGTATTAACCAATTAATTATAATATCTAGATGATTTAAGATTTTTCTTCGACAGATTAATGCGTCGGCTCCGACCTCTTCTTCAAGACGCCATTCAGAAGAGGTGTTGCGGGGCGCGCATGTGGGACGGTGTTACCGGGCCGCTGACGTGGCGGCAGTTCCACCGGCTGGCGGGGCGTGGCAACGAGGACCTGTGCGAGCCGCAGCCCGTGCCGCCACTGCTGGTCGGCCACGACCGCGACTGGATTTCTTTGTCGCCGTATGCCCTTCGCCACTGGGAAAGGCTCTCGCTCGAGCCCTACTCGTACGCGCGGGATGTAGCGTTCGTTGCGCTCGCGGCGGACGGCGAGGCGCTCACCGACCCGTTGCGAACCTTCTTCCGTGAGCTGTCGACCGCGTACGAGGCGTGTCGGCTGGGCAGGCATCAGCCGATCACGAGGATAGCGCGGGACGGGATCGTGCGGACGCCGCCGGCGGAGCGCTGCGACACGGACGAGTGGGCCGGGGAGCTGCCGCCGGGCCGGCTCGGCGAGTACGTGCGCGCCTACGCGGATGCTTTGCGCGAGCTGGTGGCGCAGCTGTCGCCGATGACCATCGACCGCACGCTGTTCGAGGGGGAGAAGACGACGGGCATGCGACCGCCCGTGGCGCCCGAGCGGCCGGCTACGCCGGGCGGTGGGGCGGGCGGCGGCGCGGGCGCGGGCGAAACGGGCGACGCGGAGGCGGTGGGCGGGGCGGCGGCGGGCGCGGGCGCGGGCTGCGCGGGCGCGTGCGGCGCGTGGGCGGAGGAGGACGAGGCGGGCCCCGTGGCGCTGGTACTGTACCTGGTGGAGCCACCCGCCGCGCACGCGCACCACGCGCTCGCGCTGCTGGCGCTGCTGCGCCTGGCCGCGCAGGCGCACCACCACTTGCAGCACCACAACCCCTTCATCAAGGTGAATATATTTTGCTTCATCTACTGTGCATTCTGCTTCTTCATAAATTTTCTTAGTTTACCGGTGCTCTTCATTGCCAATTTTAGTATTTGCTTCTAACATGTATACAATAATTATATTTTTAACGATCGGGAATATTTTATTTTTTTTATCTTTTTATATATTTCTTCTCTCTATCTATACTTTCACCATGACAGCCTTCAAAGTTGCGTTATGTCCAATTGAAAGTGTAACATTAAACTCGTGGGTTGCGGCAGATTATCTCGTTGGAGGGCGTGCTGGAGTGCGGCGGCACGGAGTTGCGCACGCTGGCCTTCAGCGTGTTCAGCGGCGCGCGGCGCCTGCTGCAGCACCAAGCCAATGGCAAGTCGCTCACCGGCTTCGGCACCGCTGCCAACGCAAACCTCTTCCTCAATTCCAAAGACGTAAGTGCTGAAAACAGAACAACATTTAACTAATGCAAATGATCTTTGGCCGGAAGCCTAAGCATAATTTTTTTTTACTTTATAATATAATTCCATTTACTTACGCTACTCATTTTTCCACACAATTTTAGTCGAAGCCGATAAGAAAACATAGTGTAAAAAAGATCAGCGTGTTACTTCAGCAAAACTAAAAGTATTTCTTACATTTGCAGGTTTTTAATTAAAGATAAATAAGATTACAATAATTTCAACTTTGGTTCAAATATCACCACTAATTTACTGGTAGAAAGTATCCCATTTAAGATATATTATTATTACTCTTTTTTAAATTCAATTACAATTCAAACTTGGAAGATAATTAGACTATCTATTCTAGTGTACATTCTAATAGTGAGTACTTCCACTGCGTGATTACTTTAGGAAAAATGAAGGAGTAAAGTGTAAAGTAGTGCATGTGCGCGGTTGCAGGAGAAGAACCGCGCGGCGTACCGGCTGTTCTCGCCGGCGTGGGTGCTGGCGCCGCCGCGCGCGCTCAAGGAGGTGGCGGAGACGTGGGGGCAGGCGTGCGGCGACCAGTGCTCCGTGCTGTTCGTGGCCTACTGCCTGTCGCACGACCAGCGCTGGCTGCTGGCCGCCGCCACCGACGCGCGCGGCGAGCTGCTCGACACCGCCGCCATCAACATACACGTGCCCGCTCGGTCAGTGTGCCTCCCACAGCCGCTCCCGCTCCCACTCCCGCTCCAACGCTATCACCATATGCAGACAACACGGGAATGCTTCTCGCCTACTATCATCCATGGGTTAAGAGCCCATAATACCCTCTTTTGTAGAGATCTGTAAACGGATAACTGACAGACCTCTCGCCAATTAAACACCATCACACCATCAGCATCACCATACAGTCCACATGCGATTAAGCAAGCGCAAACTTTTAGTATCTTAGACATTTCCTGTTCATATATCCAGTAAATATCATGTAATTGACAGCATTAATTTAACTCTCATTAGATGAAGTGACGATCTGGTAAGACATGCAGAAATTTGATTGTGGCTCAGAACCATGTTTTGTCACATTCCTGTGAGGAGGCCTATATTACCGATAAGATAAGAATGAGGTGATGGCTCCAAACTGATTCCAAAGTTAATGTACAAAATAATTATTTGACTGTCTTTAAAATGTATTAAATGTCCCACTGCTAAACATAGACTTCAAGCATACATTGCATCCCCCACAGATTATAACCAAAGAGAATATAATCACTACGTTTAAGAGGCGGGACTTCCATAGTAAAAATAATTGCATGAAATTAAGCCAAGTTACTCTGCCAACATCAAGATATGACATTTAGTTTTGAGAAACAGTGCTGACAACATTGACGAATTACAATAGTGCTGTAATGTCTATCCTCGAATAATTTTATCGATATAACCTTTATCGATATATTGTTTTGTCGATATTTTTACATAAGAAAAGTTAGATCTCTATACTGAATTATTTATGAGAAATAAACATGTGGATTGAGTAAAAATGCCGATGAGGATAAGAAATCAATGTATTTTACACACAGCAATTTGTATTTATATATCTATAATTAGGTACAAAAGTATGTATAAAGAAAATATAAAATAAAAAACGCACTTTTATACTAGTAATTAATTAAGTAAAAAATAAATGACGACTCCGTAGCGCAGTGTCTAAGCGTTTGGCTACGGCATTGCAGGACCGAGGCTTCCTTCCCTTACTGAACAATTGTTGCTATGCTGTAAAATAAATAGTCTGTGTTTGGATGCTTGTTTTCAACGTTAGTTTTTTTAAGGGTAAAAATATTGGGTTTTTAATACTGATTGGATTAAATTGCTTTTATGTGTAACAAATACTATGTACAAATCGTTAGGCTTCTTCACAGAGGCACCTATGTACATACTATTCGCAGAGATCGTTTACTAATTGTCACTTTCAAAATAAGTGCTCATTATAGCTAATGTTTATTGATGAATAAAATAATGATTTAGTTATATAATCTAATTCTTGCCAAAATGTGACTTTAGAGGGATATTATCTTTTGCTACATGTAAATGAAACCTAATTAACATACACATAAATTGTGGAAGTTTAAAGTAAGTCCACTAAAGAAATAACAGTTCGTTTTAGTTGGGTTCATATGCAATGTTTGTCACAAATGTCTTATCATGTGAATCTTTTCAATTGGTGCATGTGCCAGCTATTTCACCCATTGCTTGCATCTGAAAAAATAATATAAATAAAATCACATTATTATTGAACAAATAGGATGAACAAATAGGCAGGGTCGGGAAGGGACGCCCTAGACAAAGGTTTATCTACCAAATCGGCGATACATTAAAAATGGGCCAGATTAGGAGTACCCTTAACCGACGAGCGTGTATGCGTAGATATATGGATGTAAAAGAGGCGAGAGAGGTGTGTCAGGATCGCGCCAAATGGAAGTCCGTAGTCTCTGCCTAACCCTCTGGGTGATAGGCGTGAGTGTTTATGTATATGTATGTATGTAATAGGATGTTAGCAGTCAGAATTGACTTGTAGTTTCTAAGTATAGTTCGTTTCGGATTGCTAAACCATCGAACTATCAGATTTAGGAAATAGTGTGTTTGTATTTGTGCACACAATCGTACACTATAAAAACATGTCCTACATAGATGGCTAGTCCAAAAATATACTCGCGTTGAATATCATATTACTATTAAAGTTGAAATCACCACATACCTTTCATCATCTAAGGGAAATATTGTTACGAATAGCCTTTTCTTGTTATCATTTTTTCCGATTCTTGCACCATTTAATTGGAAAGTTTTATAATGCATATTTAATTTCTTAACAATTCTGTAAATGAACAACGGCTCCTATAGCAAAATTAAAAGCAATCTTAATTAATAAAATATATACAAACATAATTGTTTGATTTCACATTTGAACCTATTTCATTTGACAATGTCGTTAATAGACATATCACGAAAAGCATAAAGAAGCTAACCGCTATTAAAATTTGACCCCTGTAGTACATATAATTTTTACTATGGAAGTTGCACCAGCCTGATTATAACTTCCACGCCTGTCAGGAGAGTTGGCAATCGCAGTTTATTATTTTGAATTGTTATCAGGAAGATACTGTTGCTTCCTGTTCTCTCTGTCGACTCGTACGATACCCAAGGGATGAAATGGGGTAGTAGTTTTTTTACGCCTACGGGATAAAAATAATAATAATTTAAAATATGAAAAAAAAAAACTCCCGCTGGGTATCTTGCCGGTTATTGGCAGGTCAGAAGTTTTTATAACCAATTTTGAATAAAATTTTTCTATTTCAATGACTGAATTTACAACATACTAGAATAGTCACCGCGAACAAAATCTACGGGAGTGCGAGGCGTATGGAAGCAGGCAGAGAGAACCTGTTTATGGCAAAGACTGAGTAATTTTGAGCCCGTGGGCTCTAACGCGTGTTGCAAACAACCAAGTCACGGTGTCTCTTCTAGTATGTAGTACATATTATTTCAATTATTTCAATGTAGAAAGAAAGGTTGGCCGATGATTCCAGTAGTATAAGGGATGGGTTTTGTTTAATGATTTCTTTTATTAACGCGAACACTACATGTTGAAGAAACTAATATTTTAACGGATTTTATCGCATTTAATTTAAACTTTTTAAAACGTTTCGGATGTTTGGTCAGATATACGCAGAACGAGCTTACAATATCTTGCAGTGTTATGCTTGGGTTTCGATTTAATTTTATTAATTATAGAATACCAAGCAGATGGTAGCACCCATCCATTTTCTCTATTGAAATTAAGATTTTTTTTTTATTTCAATAGTCTCACTAATCATCCTTGGTAGGAATCGGTATTTTATTGCGAGGATTTGTGATCTATCAAATCTGGTGTAACGGTGTGGACGATCTAAAAACATGTTTGTAGACTGCAGTTTCCGGAGCGTCGGCGAGCGGCGTTGTGTTATTAAGTTATGTGTTGGACATCAGGTCGCGGCGGCGGCGGGCGGGGCGCGCGGGCCCGGCGCGGCGGCTGGGCCTCACCAAGCTGATGGACTTCACGCTGGGCGTCATGTCGCAGGCCGCGCAGCCCTGGCGCCTCGTGGTCGGCCGCGTCGGCCGCATCGGCCACGGCGAACTCAAAGGTACACGCACCCACGCACCCACGCACCCACGCACGCACGCGCTCACTCCTTTAACAATTAAAAGTGTCATTCAATGACAGCTATATTCATTTATTTTCTAACACTCATTTCATCTCATGCGAGACGACCCTCCTTTTTTCACTAGGTAGAACGATTGGTATTTACACTACCAACATTACCATTGTATAACTCTGATGGGAATCGTGGTGAAAACTATCAAAAAACAATCCAATCCATAAAACGCGACTTTTGAATTTTAAAAATATTAGGACTTGAATTCTGGATCTTAATAGCATCTTCCGATTTGTTTGCAACTTAACTTTTTATCAACTGCCATTTCTTATCAACTTTTACTGGATCTTGTTTTCTTTAAGAAATTATGACATTAAAATTTTGAAGACATAATATTTATGCAATAAGTATTGGTTAAATCTTATTTGTGTAACTTTATGTAACTAATGTCTTTATGATATTAATAATTGATACCTTATTTTAGATTACAAAATATTTTCATAATGAAATAAAATAGTTAGCTATACAAAATGTTTCCTATTCACAAATACAGCTGTGCCGTTTTTCAAAACCTACCAAAGTTAAATAATGGTTCTGCTCTGTCAATCTGTTAAAATTTGTCACATACGAGATATATTTAGACACATTTAATATAAGCTGCACGAATGTTTGCCGATAATCATTTCTTACATATCTTTCGACCGCGTCTCGCGCTTGTCTGTTTAGCGGGGTTAGCCAAGTACAATCGTTGACGCTTATAGCTAAAACTATAACCATTTTTAATATTAAATTTTAAAATAAACTAATATAACTTTTTTACATACTACCTTTTTTTTATATATCGGATAGGGTGACAAACGAGCGCACAGTCCAGCTGATGGTCAGTGGTTGCTGTGGCCCATAGACATCCACATTTATCTTCGTTTGCGAATCAAAATGCAGATGCGTTGTTACCCGTGAGGACTAAGATGGAATGCCTTTTTTCCAGTAAAAAGGGTCTCCGGTTCTCTACACTCACCATACGAAACAGCAGTGTCAAGCTGCTATTTTACGATGGTATTCTGTGAGAGCGTAGTCCTTCCCCGGTCGAGCCGACCCATTCGTGCTACAACTATACTACTAATATAGCTGCAGCATGGCTCTACCACGTATGAATCTATCTACTATAGTTTTAAGTTCTTAGATCATCGGAAAGTTAGTTTAAATCTTCGCTATCGGCAAACCTGTGCGTGGCTTGTATACAATCGGCTTTTTAAAAAGTATTGTTTTAGTCTCACGTTTTTTTTATAGACTAAGGGTGATAAACGATAAGACATTCCACCTGATGGTAAGTGTTTGCTGCGGTCTATAGACATCTACATCAATCCTTGATTAAGTATCAAAATGCAGATGCGCTGAAAATAAGGTGGAATGCCTCATTTCCAGTGAAAAGAGTCTCTGGTTTTCTACATTTGCGATATAGTAGCATTAAGTTATAGCAACTTATCTCAATTTATATTCTGTGCGAACGTGGTCCTTCTCCAGTCGAGCCGACCCATTCATGTTACAACTATAATATATCTGCAGCATGGCTTTACCGCGTAAAAAATGTTTAAACTAAAAATGTGTGTTACGGCCCCCAGCTGCCTCGGCAAAGGCGCCTTGGCTAGAGCCCATAGTAGCCTCCTCGACGGGCAGCCGAGGGTTCGGGCCCAAATGGCCTTATGGACAATTGACCTATCATACTACACAATATAGATAAGGCTAGGTAAATAAATAGTACGTACCTGGATCCGAAGCTAAGACCGTACCAAGGCTCGGTCAGGTCGTAGGTAGGTGTAGTGCATGTAAGTGGTGTTTGGTAGTGTGTATATTTATGTGAACTCGCCCAGCTGCGGTGACCGGGCAGGCGCCTGGTCCGATGCTGCCCCACCATGTTTCATCACTCCAGCAGGCGTCACCAAGTGACAACTTCTTTCTTCATGCCACTATTTCAGTCTAGTCTAGTTCAACATTATTGTACATTTAACTAACTTCAACTCAACTAATTCAACGTTCATCGTAGAATCAAACACGTGATACCCGACACAAGTAACGAACAGTAGTTCAAAGTTCAATATTCAATGTTCCGGATTCATTTTATTTTTTTATTTTTTATAGGATAAGGGTAACAAACGAGCACACAGTTCACCTGATGGTAAGTAGTTGCTGTGGCCCACAGACATCTACATCTATTTTCGATTAGGAATCAAAATCCAGATGCGTTGTCACCCGTGAGGACTAAGATTGAATGCCTCGTTTCCAGTAAACGATCTCCGGTTCTCTACTTTGACCATACGAAACACAGCAGCGTTAAGCAACTATTTTACGCTGGTATTCTATGAGAGCGTGGTCCTTCCCCGGTCGAGCTAACCCATTCGTGCTACAACCATAATATAGCTGCAGCATCGCTCTACCACGTTTATTACCACCAAATTACAAATAGGGAACTAACGCGATCTCTTCACGAGTCACAAAGTTCAGCGTTACAAACAACAACTAAATTCCTTCGTACGATATTAAATACTACGCCGCAATAAGAATTTAAAATCAACCTAGCTGACACGCAAATTAACTACAGAGTCAACACACAAAAGGCTCTAAACGCGACGGTACAATTAAATAAAGATTTCCAAAATCAATCAACCGGGTCACGCCCTCGAAATGGAATGCGAGCTTCAAATTCCAGACTGTATCTCTACTCGGCGCGCGCGCAAGATTCCACGTCACACAAGCAAGTTAAATACTGCAAAATGCACTTCAACACGCAATCACTATATAATTGGCGCAATTACTTTCAAACGAAATTACTTTAATCAGTCAAATTCAATACAAGCCTCTAACCTTACCTAACTTACAACTTAGACAAACTAAACCGAGGCGGTCTTTACGAAACCACAATTCAGTAGCGAAGTAACGCGCACAAATACTAAAAATCTAGATCATAAACCCAAAAAACTGGTCGCGCGAAATATATGCGGTCTCCAAAATACGCTAATTGACCGCACCGCTGCTCTCTAGCTACTGTTTTCGCCCACGAGCGCCAAACGCTGGGAAGCTGCATACCGATGCCCCCTCCCCGCGACGCGCGTGACACCTAACACCATCGGGCTATTCGCTAAGTCGAAGGCGATTGGTTGCCGTCTCAAATGACCATATTTGGCCTAAACAATCTGTTTATTTTTAATTTAGAAAAACGTTACCCAAGTTACACAAGGATTTTCTCCTGTATCGTGGAGGCAGTTTACAAAGTTAAATTGCACAAGGACATCCAAACCCGGAACAATTATTTGTAGGCCATACAAATACTTGCTCCGTGCGGGATTCGAACCCGCGGCCAACTCATCGCTAAGCCACTGCGCCACGGAGCCGTCAATTCACGTTTCATGAAAGTCCTGTTGAAATATATAGTTACTAAAATTTAATGTAATGTGAGTGTGGCGCCTTGGCTAAGGGAGTTGTGTAGTGAGAGTATATACAAAGAGAAAGACAAAGCGTGTATACGGTGTGTAAGAAGTGTTGGGCGGTGGTGCGGCAGGCTGGAGCTACCTGCTGTCGCGCAAGAACCTGGTGCGCGCGTCGGGCGTGCTGCGCGCCGTGTGCGGCAGCTGCGCCGCGCTGTACCCGGGCGGCGCGCCCTGCGTGCTGTCGGCCTGCCTCGTGTCCACCGAGCCCGACCCCTGCCTGCGCCTCATGGCCGACCGCTTCACGCCCGACGAGCGCTTCTCGCAGGCCTCCATCCACTCGCACCTGCACACGCCGCGCGACGTCACCGCCACGCACATACTCGTCTTCCCCACCTCCGCCACCACGCAGGTGAGTCGTGCACACTGCACACTACACACAACCACTCATACACACCCTCATACCTGGACTATTTTTCAACGAACAAAAATTCCATTACAGCCCATAATAACACAAAGGGAATTACGGCATAGTTGCCACGTTTGGCAGGCAAGTTGCCAAGTGCAGTTTTTTATTATTTTGAGTTGTTATCGGGAAGACGCCCATTACATATTTCAATTTCCCTCTGTCGCCTCTTACAACACCCACGGGACGATATAAGGTACTGGTGGATATTCTTACACGATATACCGAACAATAATTATCCAATAATAAAAATACTTTTAAATATCTATTGTTAAAACTCCACTCTTAAGATTTTTTATTATATCGTGAAGGCGCTTTACATACATAGATTGCACAAGGTTAAACATGCATATTCGGAACAAAATTATTTATAGACCATACAAATACTTTCTTCTGTACGTGATTCGAACCCGTAGCCCTCAACGCCACAATTCAACTGCACTACGGAGCCGTCGGAGTCAAGATGCTTTATTAAATTAAAAAATTGCTCTAATACGTGGTATAGTGAGCATTACTTGAGAATATAGTACTGGCTATACCCTTACCGTTACAGCTTATTAAAGTCCACTGCTAAACATAGACCTCCTCATAAATTACCTCTCAAAAAGGATATTTGCCATGGCATCCATAGTTTTTATTTTCAGTCGTTATTAGGAAAACGTTATTAGGAGATTTCTTTCCTTCTGTCACCTCTTATGCTTCCTCTACACTACTCGCGAAGTAACTTCGACGAAGTGCTCGTCGAAGTCGATCGCAGTCCGAAGAACGTGACCACACACTCGTGCTACTACGTGAAGAGCTCAGTCGTCTTGAGACTCCCACACCATTAACATGAATGACGTTCAAGAGGCAGCTGCTTTATGTACCTAATTGTGTAAACAGTACGACGTCAATGCGTTAACTAAATAAATAATTAAGTAGAAAACTATATATTTAATATTTATATATATAAAAAAATATTCACAACTGGCGTAAGCCGAGTAGAGTGTAGTGAGACGCTTCGTTTAACTTCGAGGAACTTCGCGAAGCCCTTTGACTCTGGCGCAAAAAACCGACAGCGATCGGAAGTCCCTGAGGCGAAGCGAGGTTGGACGAAGCGAATCGAAGTACCTCTCTACACTATTCGCCTCGTCCAACTTCGATCTACTTCGCGAGTAGTGTAGAGGAGGCATTACGACACCCACGGGACGATAATAATATGTTTAAAACAAAATAATATGTTTAAAACAATTTTGATACATAATTTGCTCTGAGTGAAATTTTAACTCAGTACACTCACAGTTAGACTTCAATATCATCATCATCATCATCATAACAGCCCAACAAAGTTCACTGCTGAACATAAGTTTCCCCATAGATTGTTTTTTATGATGGATATTTTCCATAATTGCCACGCTAGTCAGGCGTTCGGCCACCGCAGCCTTTTAAAACCAATTGTTACAAGAATGATGATGTTGCCCATCTCCTGGTTTGTTTTCCTCTGTCTACTCTTATGATATGGGATAGTGGATATTCTTATACCGCCACTATACTGTTAACTTACACAGATAGACCAAAGTTCATGCAACTAGAGGTGATTCACGAAAGTAGCGGATTCGAATTTTTAATTATTAGGCTGTTATCACTAAATCGTGTAAAGTTCCAGCCTATATGCATCCCACTGCTAAGCATAGGCCTTTTTCACATTTATATGAGGGTTAATAAGGCGTGTGGTGCAAACTGTATTCCACTATTTGTTGCACCTTAACTGCTGAAGTCATTTAAAGTTTGCGATTGTAATTTCTGATTTCATAGAAACGAAAATGTAATTAACTGTAGCATGTTTGTTACTTAGTCGAACCAGATGCCATTCGAGCAGCCGAACGCGAACGGCGAGGACAACGACATCATGTTCCTGGGCGTGGACATGGCGGACGAGGACATGGGCGAGGACAACATGGCGGAGCTGCTTATCGGCGACATGTTCACGCACATGTGGGCGCAGGGCAGCCCGCGCGCGTCGCCGCGGCGCCACGACGACGACGCGGCCGGCAGCCGCGACGGCAGCCCGGCGCGCCACGCGCACCTGCACCCGGCGCAGGGCTACCACGTCGCCGACGACCACCAGCCGGTCCGTCGATACCTCCGCCTTTTTATTGCTTTTATTTATTTTATTCGTTATAACCTTACAGTATTTATAAGCAAGCTGTAGTACGCGTGTTATTGAATGTGAATACTAAGCACGAGTGTGAACAGTCTCAAAATGGCAAGGGTGACTGTTTAGGCCCAAAAATGGGCATTTGAAAATTGCATCCAATAACACGCGCCCGGTGCGTCACCCGATGGTATCGAGGTGAGGTAGGCACCGCCGGTGGGGGGTGGGGGGCCCGTGTGCCGGCTTCCCGTGATTCCGGCCGTGGGCTAGCAACAGTGCTTTGAACGCCGCGGCATTGTCAAAAAAAAATATTGGTAACTTTAAGGTAGAAATCTTTTAAAATAAATTTTACAAATGAAATAATTCTGTAACAGCGGCTTCTACGCGTTTTACCAAGTACTACATAGACCTGCGAAGCCGACGTAGTTCTAATTGTAAAATAGCATAATGACGGAAGATGGTCATTGAAAGTAAATTCTCTTAATTTCTCGTATAATCCTATTTCTCGTAATTTAGCAACGAGATTAATTCTAATATTTTTTTAGAATCTTATTTGTATAATTCTTATAAATAATATCTAAAAAATAATTGTTCTAAGGGGTCTACAAAATGTGGCATGTGCTAATCCGAATACAAAAATTTTTGCGCACAAGCAACAGGTGGAATTATAAACATGCATTATAATTTTGTCCTGCACAGATGTCTAGTTTCCGTTGAGACTGACCGCCATGACCGAATTGCGGGTTTTAAGGGCTGTTATAATTTTTGTTTTCCATCGGGGTTTTTTTATTTCTTTTATTTTAAAGAGTACAAGGTATTCAGTGTCAAGGTAACAGAGTAGATATATAAGGAATTTGATAATTGAATAATGTAATAGGTAGTGAATATAATGATGTTTAAATAGAAAGTATGATGTGTTTTCAGGAGCAGATCGGCACGATGCTGCAGCAGCCGCTGGCGCTGGGCTACCTGGTGTCGACGGCGCCGCTGGGCGCCATGCCGGCGTGGTGGTGGGCGGGCTGCGCGCACCTGCGCGACGCCTGCCCCGCCTTCCTCAAGAACGCGCTGCACCTGCACTCGGGCAGCGCGCAGGCCGCCGACGACTTCACCTCGCTCACGCAGCGCCGCGACCACAACTCGCACCCGCTCGACTCGCAGACCACCACCGACGTGCTCAGGTACACGCCCACACCACCACACCACACCACCACATTATCTTACCACTATTATACATTGCAATAAATGGAGTGAATAGGTTTTTTCGTGCTACGATAGAGCGTATTAGCATCTAGGGCTTCATCACTACTTACCACCAGGTGGGATTGTGGTCAAGCATTAGCTTATAATAAGTAACAAGGCCTTATTTACCCGCATATGATTCAAAGTAATAATATCGAAGAATAAGCTAGGATACACCCGAAAATACAGAAGATAGCACGTGAAAGTTAACAATTGTATATAAACCAGTAGGTGTGGATCATTCAGGAAAAAAAGGCATTGGTACTGGAAGTAAACTTGCGATAAATTAATCAAACGACAAATTGTTACTATTTATTAATCAGTATAAAGATATACCTTTTATTGGACCCTCAATATAATCATGCAATCCAAATTCTTGGTGTTCGAAAGTGATAGCTTATCTATTAGCATTCTATTTAGTAACTTATATGCTTCTTGGCAATTAATTGCTTAAATCAATTTAAGAACATATCTGAGCGACAAAACTGTTCTGTTACGCTGTGCCCCGCAAGTTAGAGAAATAACTGCAGATGAAAAATTAACGAAATTATCATCTCGTATTACTTTTTCCCTCTCCATTTTTAATATAAGAAGGGTTGTGGCTATTTCTGAATGTGTCTGTAATGTTAAGCTAAAAAGGTTTGAATATCACAATCCCCCTTAGACATGAGCCTGACCAGGTACTGCAAACGCCAATCTGCTTGCAAAGTTTTATAATTATTTATTTATGATAAAGAATATTGAGGTTGATCGTTAATTCTGGCACACAGGTACGTTCTGGAGGGGTACAACGCACTGTCATGGTTGGCGCTGGACGGCACCACGAACGACCGGCTGTCCTGTCTGCCGCTGCACGTGCAGGCGCTCATGCAGCTCTACCACACGGCCGCGGCGCTTGGCTAGTATGCGCCACCTGCCACAAATGTCACCTGCCACACCTGCTGTCGACGTCCGTCGACTACTTGCAAACCATTCTCAGTTACGTTTTGATAGTTCGGTTGTCATTTCAAGTTTATACAAGAGCTTACTATAGTTCATACTCAAACTTAAAAGGAACAAAGTATGGTCCCTGATTATATACATGTCATAATCAGTAAACATATGCTTATGTGTTATTTAAAAACATCAAACCTGATTATAATTACAGGTAGTAAGTAAAAAAGTTGTAATTCCAATAAAAGACAAAAGAAACCTTTATATTGTATTGTTAAAAGAAAGTTGATGTGAAATCTTTCTAAGGATGACGACGTTTACAAATTTTTGGCTTAGGTAATAGTAATTTAAGGTTACCATCTGTTAGGTCTAATTGTCTCTCAACACGTTCTTAGTTGGAGGCTTTTGTTATTTGAATTAATGTTCAAAGTAATTGAGGCGACACCACAATTTGTTCTATAAAGTTAAGGGTACAAAGCTACAAAACTACTTGCGTTTCATAGAATAAAAGCATTATACGGATTCTTTTTATAAATCAGACACGGACAAAATATCTGTGCTGTTTTTTTAAAATATTGAATTGAAAAATACTTTTCATGAATAGCTCTACTTCAAAAAATAATTATAAATCACAAAATTATACAATATTTATAAAAGTATAGGAAAAAAGCTTTTGTCTGGTCATTTTTGAACTGTAACTGAATACACAGAGTTAAACTCCAAAACATTGGCAGTACTTAGATTAACTACTATTGGTATGATATGTATTTAAGAAGGGCGTTGTAAAGAGATTGTTATATGTATAGAACCTTTATAAAGGCATTCGCAGGAGATAATTATTTCAGAGTAATATATAGTCTATTTAATGGCGATATCGTGGTTGATGAAATCTATGCCTCGTTTCTTGTGGGTTTATTTTTACCTTTTGATAAACGCATTTTAACGTAAGAATTACCCCCCAAAAAACGAATAGTCGATTGTCAGGAGTGAATGTTACCACGCACAAACTCCTCTGAAATATCGGAATGTTATAAAATATATATATATATAGTGATAAAGTTAGAAAAGAAGCCGGGAAGTAAGTTTGTTATATAAAAAAATCTTATGATGGTCCAATTGATCTAAGTGGACAATTTTTCAAGTTTGTTACTGCTGTTATATAGGAATTTTGTGAAGTTTAGTGCTCTTCAATTTTTCATCTGTGTTCCTCTATGAATCATAAAAGACAACACTTCCATTGACGTCTTTCGCTACAATTCATTCTTCCGTGATTCTCTTTTACTCCATAGATATTTATAGAAACCTCATTTTGTTTAGTAAACATAATATTATAATATTTTCCTATATATTTCCTAAAACATGCATTAATGTATGAAGAGAGCAACAATTTATATCTAAGATTTATTTTTTAAATTGTATTTCCATTCAAAATTCAGTTTATTTAATATTTAAACATTTTGATACATTTATTTTCTGTTATTCGTGACATTTTATATGTATGTACGTTTATATCATTATGCAAAATAATTGTATATATTTAAGTAATTTGTAAAACATTAATTATGACCAAAGTAGCGTAATCTTATTTTCGGCCTTCCATTTGTCTCCAAAAACTCGTCATCTCTATTTATTTATTTTTTTACTTTACAACAACTTGAATTTTTATGGCGGTTTATAATAAATAATGTTATTTACGTTGTTGAGCTGTGTAGAAAGTAATATATACCTTTTATGTTATGTTACAAACCGGTATGGATTACCAAAGGAATTAGGTATTTGTGTAGTTTTTTAGATATTTTTACCATCCTTATTTTTCTGTATAGAATTCGTTTCACAGGGTTCTCGTATTGTAACGATGTTATATAAAAATGACGAAATTTATGGGTTACTCATTAAATTAAACTTTATTTTTGTATAGTTTTTTTACGTTGGTACGACATGGAATTATTTTGTACTGTTTGTATCGGATTAATCTCGACTTAAGTGATGTAGCTTTACATTTTAGAGACAAATTTACATTAGGAGAATTGACCAGTAGTTACTTAGCGGCCGAGTCTACATGTACAATTTTACATCCAGGGAACAAGCCACTTGTCGGTTTATATGAAAACCGCTTCAAAATTACTGACTAATAAGTGCGAACTTTTACTATATACAGTAAAAATTAAGTGGACTGCCAAATACTCCCCACGTGCGAGCTCTGGATTCTCTTTAGGAATAAAGAAAACAGTTTGCTAAAAATAACACCTTTTATCGACATGATAAATTATACTTTGTATTGAAAATTAATTAGTGACACCAATAGTTTACGATTAGTTGAATAGCTATAAAAACCCAATAGGTCGAGTATCAATTAGCATTTGTATTATTAGAAGTCGTTTTTTAAAATATAGATAGAACCCGTTGAGACAAAACTTGCGATGTTGATTCGTCGAATCTCTGACAATTTGGTAGTTATATTGAATTTTCTATTTTAATATATATCTATATTAAAGATTAAGTAAATAAATATACATGTAAATATATCCGTATGCGTGTTGTAGCGAGTGTGAACGGACGCGTGGCTCAGACGTTAATTCCAATTTCGTAGTACTCCCCATCGGCTCGACACAGAGACGTAGTGTCAAATCCATTATTAGCTTTGAACAAATTGAAATCGGACACAAACTATTGAGTTTTTGTTGCATTATAATTATTTAACATTAATGTTTTTTTTTTCTTTATGTCAGTGGTGAAAGCTGGCCGTAGGCAAATTGTACAGTTTTGTATGATAGAGCGGCGACAGTATACATAAATTATTATTGAATGAATCGTAGCAGCGGCTCGTCCGCTACTTAACTGAATTATGCCTAGTTGAATATGAAATGTTTTAAATGTGTTACAGCATTTGAGAATATTTAATGATGTTGTATATAGTTTATATTTTGTTTTTGTAAAACGACATTTTGTACATAGGATCGACGTGGTATGGCGTACCGTTAGTTATTTTTGCCCACTTTGCCGTTTTCCATTATACGGAGCACATTTTAAAGAAACCACTCGTAATATTTTGTACAGTTGTTAAGCGAGATTCGTAGTTGAATGAATTATTTTTAAGATTTTGTTTTTGACCTTTTTTGTTATTGTGAATTTGTCAATTTTTTTAGGGAATTGGGATTGTACTGTACATAGACCACCATTTTGTCATATATTAGTTGTAAGCGGTCAAATCTGATGATTAATATGGAAATCAAATTTTCTAAATGAGCAATCATTAGAGAATCGTAAACAAAACTAGCGTAATACTTGATATTAATATAACTTTATAAATAACTGTGAAAATAGGTAATAACAATTATGAATAAAATATTACATATTTAAAGCCTTCTTTCATTTTATGTGTATCATTTGCTAACATGTTGTGCTGTTTTGTGGTTTCCGCGTGGGTTAGGCTGTCGAGACGGAACGGCAAGGAAAAATCCCTTGCCGTTCCTTCTCGACAGCCTAATTTAGATTAATAATAAATAATATTAGATTCCGAACGCAGCAAGACTATATAAAATCTATGACCCACGTACGGTAGTTTTCCGTTCGAAATTTTGCAGGCAAAACGGTAATCCGTATGGCCTACCCGTTCGGAATTCCGAAATTCCGTATGTATGTTTTTTTTAATGTAGGATAAGAGTGACGAACGAGCACACAGTCCACCTGATGGTAAGCGGTTGCTGTGGCCCATAGACATCTACATCTACCTTCAATTACGAATCAAAATGCAGATGCGTTGTCACCCGTGAGGATTAAGATGGAATGCCTCATTTCCAGTAAAAAGGGTCTCCGGTTCTCTACACTCACCATACGAAACAGCAGCGTTAAGCTGCTATTTTACGCTGGTATTCTGTGAGAGCGTGATTCTTCCCCGGTCGAGCCGACCCATTCGTGCTACAACCATAATAGCTGCAGCATGGCTCTGATATTCATACATACATACGTAAAACTACCGTACGTGTGTGACGGGTCATATATTTTAAATGGACTTGCTGCGTTCGGAATTCCGAATTGGAATATCGAAACGGAATCCCGGAACGCAATTCGGTATGTATGTGGCCGGCCTAAAAGTTGCGTCAACCAACAGTCAATCGCACCGTTATCTAAGTGGACAAAGATGCGATCCTCGCTGAACCTCACCCGGCGAGAGAAAGGGGCCGAGGTCAGTATGACAGCTTAGGCGGCTGTAGCAATTGTAGGCCATGGGTTATTCATCTATTTTATTTGAGGATGAGGGGGAGTACCTCATTTTGTTTCGCGAGGTACCCCTCATATGTGATGGAATACGTCGGCCGGCGTATTCCATCACATAAGGCGACTCGCCTCCTTCCGAAAGATTTTTGAAAGTAGGACATGTTACCCAAGTCATCATATTGGTAATATATGTATCAATATATGAGATCACTGATTATGCTCAGTGAAAGCAAAATAGGGTGATAAAAAAAAGTGCGCATGATTTTATTTTCACACGCAAATATGTGATTTGGTTCTTTTAAATTCCAATATTCAAAAATTATTTTTGTTGTTTATTAATCTTTTTCCTCAATATCGACACCTCACTCATTTAAATATTGCTGCTACTGCCAAATATATAATTTCGATACCTACTTGAACTATTTTTAGTTGAGTCGTTCGATCACTCATTCGCGACAAGATTTGTATTGTCGTCAGTCATAATTAATAGTGAGGTCGTGAACGAGTGAGTGAGGTGCTTCATTGTTAAAATTTGACTAACTCTTTCAATTTGCCGTCACGAGAGCCTCAAACGAGGTAACTCATCAGTGAGGGACATCATCATCATCATCATTACAGCCCTTCACAAGTCCACTGCTGAACATAGGCCTCCCCCAAGAAATGCCACAAAACATGTTCCTGAGCCACTTGCATCCATCGACTTCCTGTATGTCTTACCAGGTCGTCACTCCATCTAGTGGGGGGACGCCCTA